TGTCCTTACAATGTTCAAGACGGAGATACACAGCCTTCGTCTTCAACTACAGCTACATTCTTCTAGCCTTGCAAAGTACCTAGCCATGCACCAAATTCGTCAAAATTTAGAGAGCTCCTACTCTCATTTATTGTGTGTAATAACCTACCATTGCGTACATCTAAGAGTCTATCCTTCTGGCAGCTTGTTAGCCATTTAAATCCAACAACACTTGTAATTAGACAAACGACAATTGCAAGAGACTTGCAACAGATATTTTGCATTCATAAAGCAAGGTTACAAATTGAATTACAGCGGCATACTACAAAAGGTGGACGTATATCTTTAACAACCAATACTTGGTCTGCACGCAACTATTCTAAATACGCTATAGTAATAGCACATTGGATCTCTGATAAGTGGCAGTTACGATGTACAGTCTTAGATCTTATTAAGCTATAAGAGCCAATCTAGTCTAGTGAATATCTTACAGGGCAGTTAATAGCTGTTACAGATGACTATGGTGTTACTCCTGTAGTTTTTACTATCACTCGTGATAATGCTTCTACAAACACTACCATGCTCTGAGAATATGAGAACTTAGCATACAAGAACGAAACTACATTACAGCAACCATGGGCATATACAACAAAAGAAGGCGATGTCAGATGTATTAGGTACATTATAAACCTTGCTATTCAAGCTGCTTTAACATCATTAAAGGCAGTACTAGCAGATAAGCCAAATGGATACCGCCTTGAGTATGGAGCTGCCCGAGTTCCATCACTACCAGAAAATGAGTCAGTAGCTGTTCTCAGCAAACTTCAGCGTCGCTTAGCCCCGATATGCAAGTACGATGGAGCTCAACATATTATATGCTTCATTTAGCATTTACAAGGTCTAATAACAGCTCTCTGTGCATCTCAACAGCTTAATTTAAGTATGAAAGATATAGCTTAACAGCAAAAGGTTGGCAAATGATAAAGGCGTTATTAGATTTTTTCTATATCTTTATATGCTAGCAGAGAAGCTACAAGGCTCTTCTTATCCTACTTTAAATTATGCTGTTATACAGTATATGAGAATGATTCGCAGAAGCTTGAGTGTACAGAGCATAGAATCAACAATGATTCTAGTACATTCTATAGTTCTAATCGAAAAGTTGGTCTCATCCATGTTATACATGTTGTGCTTTGATTTCGAGATGCGTCATAAAGTCCTTGTATGTGTCAAACCATCCCACTTTCACTTCTTTTGTTGTTAGCGTGATTCAACACGTAAGAGGCCTTAGTTCAGTTGTTTCTTCACAGTGTCCCTACAAATTCCAAGAGCTTTTGCAGCTGTGTACAGGGACTTGTACTTCTTAGACTAGATGCCTAAAACTGCCTTATGTCATACTGACATTCGTTGCACTCAGTTTGCTATCAAACTCAAGAGCAAACTTAAAAATCTGATCCTCAAACCTACAAGTCACCATACATATCTTGGCTTATCACACCAACAACAAGAGCAATACTACTCAACGATTGCTGCAAACTCTTCTACTACATCTGTTTATGCTACATACATCACGGCATATCATTTGGACACTCATTGAACAAGTTATTAAGAAAATCTCCTCCTTAAGGGGGTGGGCCAATACTACCACATGGCATATCTCTACCAACTAGAGGCCTAGGAACATGAACGATAGCTCTAGAAGCTTCTAAAACCCTCTATGATTCATTACACGTCATCGCTCCTTAGTTACCCACAAGATTGGTTAAGTTATGACATAATTTATCTATAGGTACTCTGACCTTGGACCTCCTTTTCACTTCCTATAGGCTAGGAACCCAAGAGATGGTTCTATGGGATTCTCTTACGTTCACTACATAGTTAGCAAGCTAGTTGTGGGTCGCACTTGATTTCTAATACATTTACCAAGCCTGGTTAGTCATGGAAAGTCATGGAAAATGAGAGAACTACACTCCTTTGGCATAAATAGGATTGCCCTTTCCTTAAGAAAGGGCAAGCAGGCAATACAGTAAATCGACTATCACATACTTCCACGTCTTTTACAAGCTTCCAAGCATTCATCTTGTTACTCCTTGTTTCTGAAAAGTCAGTGAGGTGTTAACCTCTGACTTACCCCTGAGTTCCCAGACTCAACATTTGTTGCAACTTGTCTGAACCACTTCACTACATCACACACCTGATTGCTGCGTTGTGGAATAGTCTAAGCTACAACCCTTTGGCTCTGTTTCCTAAGACAGTGTGTTGTCTTAGTAAAATCATCCCTTCCTTGGGTGGCTAGATTCTCACATCTGGTGCACCCACCATTACAACTACCTACCGGTTCTCAAATACACGATGTGTTCTCACCAGACGTCCTCATGAAGGATCCGAACAACCCCCTACCTGGTCAGGATCTGCCTGAAGTGATAGATGGCGTAGAGGAATGGGAAGTGGAAAAGATCCTCGCCGTAAGGCTCCACCGGAAACAACTACAATACCGGGTTAGTTGGGTCGGATACGATCCGGACCCAGAGTGGTACCCAGCGTCGAACTTCATGAACTCCCCCCATAAACTCAGAGAGTTTCACAAGGAATACCCTGATTTACCAGGTCCACCTCAAGAACTAGTCGGATGGGTTACGGCATGGGAGGCGGGGGAGGAACAAAACTACGATCACGGGAGGGACAACAGAGCAGGAAAAACAGAGTCGTTGCTACCTACGACCCTAAACTAAATACCCTCTAAGCCAGGGCGCACTCACCACCGTAACCCTTGTGAGATCCACCCTTCCCAAACGTCTCACCGGCGTCGCAACAAGCGGCTACCACCGAGAGAGACGAAGGGTCGAAGCGACCCCACGCGAAGAGTCAGGCCCGAGTCCCCTCCGATACAGGTCCTCCCTCCACCCTACTCCCCATTCTCCCCCTCCCCATAACCCGCACCAATGGTGCCCTCCTCCTCACCCCTCATCCTCCTCCCCCCAGTGCGGTCCGGGACCGTCGCAGTGACAGCGACGGCAGGAAGTCTGCCCAGGGCAGCCACCACTTCCCCCAAAAGAGCCGGCACGCTCCCCTGCTCCGTCCAAATACGGCGCAGCGACGACCGGATTTGCTGAACCGTGTCAGCACCGAAACAACACAGGACAGGGGTATACTCACGCCCATACCCGCCTCGATGGCAGCACGCGTAGCGCGGAGCTCCTCATAGGAGTCGCGCTCCGCGACAGAACGAAACTTGGGAACACTTTGGGCAGCCACGAGGGCCACCCGATTTGCCTCCGAGGCAGTGGCTGCGATGTCTGCAGCGACGAGAGGGATGGTGGTTTCTGCGGCGACGAGGGCGCGGTATTCCTCATCGAGGAACCAGGGCAGCTATTCACCCAAACGGTTAGCAACAGCCAACCAACCAACAGAACACCACAAGGAAACTCACCGGGACACAGGTGGAGTGCTGCACAGTGCAGTACTCGCACTTTGAGCTCGAAGCAGACCAGACGCAATCATGCGCCGGGACACCCCGAGCTTTGGCCCGAAGGCAGCGCAGACACAGGACCCGGAAAGCGACTGAGAGGGCTCCGGCAGGCGTGGGAATCGGCATCGTCAATTGTTCGGGATCTGTGTTCCCGTCAGCCAAGCCCACGTTATCACTTGCGCGCCGAGCGCGTTCCCGTCACCTACTCGTTCAGGTGGATGGTTCTATTCAAAGAAACAATCAGTTAGTATACAGCTATAGGAATGGGGGGGGGGGGCACTTACCAGTTTCGACGTGGATACTGTGGTGTTGTTGTTGTAAAAGAAAAACAGGAAGAGGTGGGCGAAACGGCGTACTCAAATGTTGGGCTTACAACAATAAATTCTGAATCGGGCTAGCGCGATCACTTCCCCTTTCACATTTATGAAAGTTCGACTCCAACGCTTAGCGGATACTTCCCGGTGCCCATTCGGATCACCAAGATGGAAAGTGAGATTAAACAAAGCCAACTCCAGTGTCGCATTCTATGAGGTGGTGTTATGGTACCCTTCAAGAACAGCCACCTCCGCACACAAAGCACTTTCCCGACACATTGTACAAACGGAAGAGTTCCTGATAGAGGCCCTGGCGGCATGCTTTGTGGACAAAGCACTCTCTTAGGAGGGGGGTAGTGTAAGGATGCCTTCTCGTCTCTCATTCTAGGGAGTGGGTAGCTGGAGCGTCACGTGTGATCATTTGGGTGGGCTAACCGAGTCGGAACCGAGTCGGATGGGTTTCGGTACTTGACAGAATCGACTCACGGGGTTCCCCGATCATCTTTTTTGTATCCTTTGTAGTAGACCTATAGGATAGCATCCGTTTAGCCTCCCACTCGCACTCTCATATGCTATTACTGTGAGCTGGGTGCCCTGTCTCCTTACAGATCCAAATCGATGGGAACTAGAGGTGCTGTATAATTTCCTGCGGGCGGAGGAGTGAAACTTAAATGAACTTGATGTCCCCCTCTTCTTCTAGGGGTTGAAGAGCCTCTAGAGCTGTTGGTTGTTGTTTGAACGACGACGAGTTGTTGAAGGAGCCATTTTAGATGTTCTAAAGCCTATATATCCTCAAAAAAAACTTCGTGAGGAACGACTCAACTTCAACAAGTTATTATATCACAATCACATGGCCAAAAATTACGAAAGGCACGCTAAATGAAAGATCTCCATTGTGGCTTCAATTTAAAATTAATTCTACGTAATTATGGTGAGATTTGGTTGATCCTCACGCTCAATTGTCTCATTTTCTCCTTGACTTTCTTGCTGCTAGGGGCGCGCTATCCGCGGCCCGCAGCCGAAAAACTAGCCAAAACAGGTTACAATGGACCCGTTCCGTTGGGAATCTGACCAACCAACGGCCGTTTAAGGGGCCTAAAACGGACGCCAGTCCATTTAGGGTAGGCGATAACGAACGGCAGTTAGTGCCGTTGAACGGGATAACGAGAAAACTCTCTGCACCCTTCAGGTGCTTGTATTTTGGAATTCGGCCTGATTCAAGACTAGTTGAGTCGGCCATGATAATGATGTTCGCGCTCACTGGGGCAGCGAAGCTAATGACGATGATGACCTTGAACTGCCTTGCAGTACCCTTGGTTCGGGCTGGGTCTGAGAGAGTCGATCTGAGGATTGATCTGAAGTCTGCGTATGGATTTCGTGACAACGTAGGTGAAATCTGACTATCGAGCTCAACTTTGAAGCTTCGATATCAGGGACCTTGAGAATAGTGAACTCTTCGAACTGCTCGACTAGAGCGACGCGTCGAAGGCACTGATGGGGCTCGCGAGACTCAACTCTGAGATCTCCGAGGATTGGAACGAACGATGAGCAGCGTGGTCGATAGCTTAGAAGACAGCCGTCTATAGTCTTCTCTTCTCCAAAGCACTCGATGAAGTCCTCGAGCCTGGCTTTGGACCTTGTTCACCATCCGATCTACCTGCGAAGCCAGGAGACAGTGCTTCAGACGCAGCTGTTGCAAAGTATGAGACCGACGTCACGGCCCTACGAAAGCGCGTCGCACAAGACCAAGCAACGATTATGATCATCAACTCATCCTGCTCGTATTCAGTCTGCCAGGTAACGGCCGAATGCCTTACCGCAGCTGAGATCTGGTCAACACTTGCAAAGACATACCAAGGAAGAGGCTTCAATCTTGAGTATTCGACAATCACCGAGCTGGTGTGCTTGAAATACGAGCACTTCAACGATCTCGAGAAGTATAAGCAAACCTTCCGGAGCCTCGCTGCCAAATGGAAGCAGCTGGAGGTGCTCAAAGACGACCGAACATTCCGAGTCTTCTTTATCTCAGGACTCCCAGGCTTTCCCGACCTGGGCTGAGCGAAACAAAGCTGCGATGACCCTAAACCGCGATGCTATTACACTCGAGCAGCTGATCAACGAGGTCTCGGATCTGTCTCGGAATGCACAAGCCAAATCGACACATAAAATCTCGATGATGGCAAATCAGAAGGATAGCGCCCATACGGTAGGAGCAGCACGTCCGACTTGCACCCACTGTCAGAAGATAGGACACACAGCAGACACCTGCTATCAACTTCATCCCGAACTTGCAAATTCGGCAAGAGGGGGAGCAAGCAGAGGTGGTCGTGGTGGTCGCCGAGGTCGTGGAGGACGCGGTCGTGGAGGCAAGAGTGGAGATACAGCGATGGCATCCGTCGATTTCGCCTACGCTAACTTTAACTACGCCGTGGGAGATCATGCGAAAAATGAATGGCTCTCAGACACAGGTTCTACAACCCATATCACACACAATAAGGCCGATTTCAAGGATTTCGAGCCATCAAATTCCTGGCTGCTAACAGGCGCCGGAAACTGTAAAGTCCTAGGCTATGGGTAGGCTGCGCACTGGGTACTCACGAGTCGAGTAGTAGAATTTTTACTCACCCAGCTGAGTTACTCGCTCATGTCCCGAGTATTGTTGAATGAGGATTACTCACTTGCTGAGTACCTAGTATGGGTCTTGGCAACTCAGTTATATCACGTGTTTGATTAGCCATTACTTATGTTAAAAACGGGGTGCGACTTCATTGATCAAGACGCCATAACTCCAACTCCATTCCCATATTGTTGATGTCCTATTCCACACTATAACCTTTGGCCTTTAGGTACCAGGTTACCAGATGGTTGCCAGAACTCATCTGACCTTCATTCCTGGGTGAGAGACATTTCCATCGATTAAGCCCACAGCTTAAACATCATATCCTGCAAACGCCGAACCAATATCATACCCTTTGCCTGAATTGTCACTCTCTTCGCATGAATAGCGAGGAGGTTTGTCACTATAACTGTTAGTATGTCCCTGTCACTATGTTTAAACATCATACTCTCAAATTCTCGAATGAGGAAGCATTCAGCAGCTTCCTAAAGAGCTAGGATAGCAGATTGCTGGAAGCGAAGATTGGACTTGAAGTCTTCTGTGATTTCCCTAACAAGACGCTGGAATGGGAGCTAGTATCAAGTTGCCGTCTTCTGATATCGCGGAGAGCCTTGGTGCCTATATGTTTATTAGAGAGTTCTGGTAATCCTCTGGTAATCCTCTGGTAATCCTCTTACTAGACTTTGTGCAGCGCGTGGCCTTCTGAGCATGATTGTTGCTAGCTTGAGATGAGCAAACTGGAGCTTTTCTTGCTGTGCCCACAGCCTTTTCCTGTCCCTTTCCGCCAAGCCCAGAGCCAGCCCGTAATCCAAGTGGCATCCTTGGTGCTATGCCGCCAGTTGATCTCCTAGCAGTTTGCTTGGTACGAGTCATTTGCTAATATCAAGGTGAGTTAGTAAAGTAAACACAAGATAAAGAAGTAGATCAAAAGATATGTGTACTTACAGTGAGTTTGTAGAAAGAATATTGCAGAAGAAGAGTATAGTAAAGAGGTAGAGGTTGAAAGGTATGTGTTTTATATGAAGGTGCGCATTGTGGTGTTGTTTTTGGAACAGTAATTCTTTGTAGGTGAATATTCCTTCACAAATATTTTTGTTTGCAACTTTAAAATAACCATGACCTTAGAACCACCTTCCTTGGTTACTCTCTGATCTACACATTCTTCTTCCCTTTTGAGCCTTTACCTCTTCACTAGGACTTCAACTAAGTTTATTATCTTGATTCTATAGCCAGAACTTCTGGAGATCTCTGCTAATCACGTGTTTAGTTAGTATGGCGAAACTCAAGGCACATGAAGAACTCTCCACTAATGCGAATACTATCAAAGCTCGCAACTGCGTCTCCAACCTTACTGAAGATGAGAAGGCTGTTCACTTAGCACTCAAGGCTGACCATGCTGATCTGAGCTACTACTTAAAGAAGTTATATAAGTCTGCAAAGTGTAAGGATGCCTCCTTACCTAGATACTCGAAGAACCCGCCTCAGAGCTGTTACGGTCACCACAAGCATGAAATCCGACTCGGTGTGGTTTCGGACCAGTAGAGGAGGACATAGCGAGTTACACTATAGTGGGGGACAGTAAGGGTGTAGGGTTCAGGGTCGATGCGGACCTGTTGCGGTGGAAGGTTCAGGGCTAGGGTTGGGATAACCGAGTCGGGCCCGTTTCGGGTACTTAAGGAAACAAACTTAACGGGGTTCCCCCTTCATCTTTTTTGTATCCTTCGTAGTAGACCTATAGGATAGCATCCTTTTAGCCTCCAACTCGCACTCTCATATGCTATTACTGTGAGCTGGGTGCCCTGTGTCATTACACAAAGTATATCGCTGCCTCTACTGAAGACAAGACACGTCTACAGAATGAATTGAAGGTTGAGCGTATTTGTGTTCTTCTGGTAATCTCTGGTAGCCTCAATCTAACTATAAACAGGACTGAGAAGGGTACCCATGCATCTTGCATTGCGAATCAGAAAGTCAAGAATATTAGCGCCTCTTCTTCTCCACAAGCCCCACCATCTACTCCGCCCAAACAACTTCTGTCTGAGCTTGCTGCATTTGAGGGTATCTCAAGTATTCCAATCGATGACAATCATAACAGCGAATGGGAGGATACTGAGGTTGAAGACGATTTGGAGTTGGAGCTTATGTTACAGCGCGAGATATTTTAAATGACGAGGCTGTTCTACCGGATGAGCTTTCCGATGAAGAGATCACTAGCACCCAGGCTCTCTTAACTCAAGCGCACATTGATGTATGCTACCTCATAATCTGGTAATCTTCTGGTGATACTAATAGTTGATAGGCCCATGAAGAGTCCAATTTCCGCAAGTGGCAACATTTCTGGGATAGCTGTATCCACTCATATACGAGAAAGGCTGGAAAGCTGAGAAAGAAGCCTGAGCGTCTCTTTGAGTATATGCCGTGGATTGATGTAGAGGAAGGGTACGTCTCTGATCATCCTAGCAATCTTCTGGCAATACTAATTGTTTATTATAGCACTTTTCACGAGGTTATCCCACCACATAAATATTTCTGTTTGTACGAGCAGGCAGTTTGGAAAGTGGGCCTAATTACCAGGACCTGTGCAGTGGTATCCAAAGTCTTACAATCTTGTCGACAATGGATGGTTGCAAATATCCACTCATAGTTCTAGCTTCAAAGAGGCGTTCTTACTTGTCTACTCTAAGAAGTTTGATAAGGAAAAGTGGGCTAAGGTATCAGCTGCACAGGATATGTTGTTCCTGGAGCTAGAGTAGAGGAGAACTTGAGTTGCTAAAGTTATAGCGCTGGAGTACCTTTCGCGTTGGAAAACCAGGTATTTAAGTACTTCATCGTAGCCAGACTTCTGGTAACCTTCTGATAATTGAGCAATTTGCCAAATGCCATCTCAATACTCAGAGTTGTTTGATTCTGACAGTATTCTCAGACTCTTTTCCGTCTTCTCAACGACTATCCTCATTAAATCAAGTCTGTAAGGACACAGGGCACCCAGCTCACAGTAATAGCATATGAGAGTGCGAGTCAGAGGCTAAACGGATGCTATCCTATAGGTCTACTACGAAGGATACAAAAAAGATGAAGAGAGGAACCCCCGTTGGGTCAATCTCCTTAAGTACCCGAAACGGGTCCGACTCAGCTAACCTGCCTTAACTCTTATCATGTGACCGTAACCTGCCCGACTCAGATCCTTTCCATCACTGAGGGACAGGCATCCTTACAAAGTCCCTGCAGGCCTTGAATATATTGGCAAGTTAAACCAATTCGTCAAATGGACTAAGGATACACACGATATATTCATTGAGTGGTGGAAGCTATCACGATGGTATGAACAACACTCAGATCATACTACAAAACTCCTTATGAAGATTGCATGGGATTCAACCAACTGGAGTTCTCAATACTGGAGAAGTTATCACCAAGGAGCAGACTGGCTTTCTGGAGAACCATGTGTTATTTGTACTTATTGTTCGAAGGCCCTTACGCATCCTGCAATCAAGTCTGCTGGCCCAAAGTCTATGGCAACACATCTTGCATCAGACATTTGCAAAAAGAAGTCACAGATGGGAAGGATAGTCTCTATCAAATGCGAATCAATCAAATGCAACCTCAACAAGTAAGGATTACCAGATTATTACCAGAATTATGTAGGTTAATACCTATAATAAGATCATATTCTCACACAAGAGACATTTTATGAACAAGTTCTATACACAGTTATCTTGACTCATAGCTCGTTCCGCTCAGTCGAGGATCCTCATCAAGACCCTATAAATACTTTAGGTATTAGTAGGTCTGGCCGGCCTCATCAAGCAAGGTGGAGGGATGTTCTTAAGCATATATAATAGATAATAGCGTTCTAATAATCTTCTGATAATCATGGTACTTAGATAGAGGAATATACATGATTCGTTCTCACAGCTTACTAGAGATGGCGAGAGTGATGCTAATAGATGTAATACTTTAACTTAACGTACATGTATAGCGAAAGCGCCAAACAAGCGAAAGCGCCAAAATTATCTACCCTCACGACAAACATTGCGATAAATCTACCACAACATTAGAAATCAATTGAAACTACTCGGAGTCCTCTTCCTCAGAGGTGTCTATTACAATCTGACACGTGCGCGCATTGTGCCCAGTCTCACCACACTTGCCACAGCGACGGGCACGGGTTTCTTCCCTTGGCTTCCGACCACGGCTTGCCCTTATTTCCTGCTCTACCTGCTGCACAACATCCCTCTCATCCTGTAGCTCTTGCGCCCCTTGTTGACTAAGTGATCCTCCTTGCTGTAGTCGTGTTTTCCTAGCTCTCCGGCGCTTGCTTAGTACTTCATTTGCCTGTCGTAGGTTTTGGTTCTCTCCCTTTAGCAGTGCTAATTGATGCATTATTTGCGATGCACCCTTTGTAAACTGGTCAACAGCTGCATAGATTGAGGTTGGAGAGCTATTTTGATGGCGTGAAATCCGAGTTTTAATAAATGTAGACTGTGACATAGCTTCAATTGGGTTGTTTGGTGTCTGAGAAACCCAAGGTTGAGCAGTACCTGGGCGGGAGCTTGGAGGCGTTGGTGTCCTTAACTTAAGATCAAGTGTAGATATCACTCTCTCAGGGTCAAATGGAAGAAGCCCTGCCCCTCGGAACCCGCCTCAAATGTTACTTTCCGTCATTGTAGTGTTAAATGCAGCGTGGAAGGCAGGAAAGAAGTCATCCTTTGTAATATGAGAAATATGAGCCTGCATCATATCTTCAATTTGCCGACCATAGGCCTGCTTTAACGGGCCGAAACAGCCAACATCAAGTGGCTGGAGTAGATGAGAAGAGTGAGCAGGCATACAAAGCGTAATAATGTTGTGTTCCTTGCAGTACTCCTCAAACTCATCTGAGTGGTGGCTCTCATGACCATCAAGGACTAACAAGCAATAACCACCAACACTCCGGGCCTTTGTATGCTTCTCAAAGTGCTGAATCCAATCCATGCCTCTCTCGTTTGTAGTCCAGCCATTTTCAGTAACAGAAATCACCCAATCGCTTGAAAATCCACTATTCTCATACCAAGATGTAAGGTGGTTTTTGCCTGCAACAATGATAAATGGTGGTACTGCCCAACCTTGAGAACTAACGCCTTGGATTACTGTAACCCATTCCCGATTACCAGGCTGTACCTTCTTTGCTTTTGCCCGCCCGTCTGAGCTTGTTACAACCATAGCAGTTGAGATAACGCCCATCATAAACCCAGTCTCATCAAAGTTGTAGATATCTGCTTCATCGATACCATATTTCGCAATTGTGTTACGCACAAGCTCAAACCAGCCATTAATAACTTCTGGATCTTCGCACTTAGCCCTCTGGTAGTCGTATTTGCGCTGAAAGCGTGTCTGGAGCTCTACACGCCGCTTAACAAAGTTTGAAGCCCAACGCGACCCAACACGTGACGCGTCGCGTGTTGCAAGTAGTCGACTTGCCATATCTTCAACAACAGACAGCCGAGGAGGAAACCCTTTGGCAGCTAGGTCGAGTATATACTGAACAAGGACGGACTCCTCTAGGTTAGTTAATTTCCGTGAGTTGGCTTGGATATCGCGTCGTGAAGGTACACCTTCTAGACGACGACCTAGCTTGCGGTGGTCCACAGAATAGATCCTAGCAGCAACTCGAAGGCATAACTTTGGGTCGCTTTGCATAGCCTGGATAGCTAGCACTAATTGGCTTTCATCGTTTTTATGGGGCATGTTTTGTTGTTGAGGAATTTAACATTTAGTTGGGGGGTTTGGTCACCGCATCATTTTGGCGCTTTTGCTTGTTTGGCGCTTTCGCTATACATGTACGTTAACCATAAAACAGTATTAATCGTATGAGGGACTGTTCACATGATGCATAAATCTTACACGTGATAGCCGAGTACTCACCGGGTTTTTACAGAGTAACTGAGTATTGACCTCACTCACCGAGTCGAGTAAAAGGTTCAGCTACTCACCCAGCTGAGTAACCCACTGAGCGAGTGAGCCGAGTATTGAGCGAGTAGTGCGCAGCCTAGCTATGGGACAGTCGTCATTCACGTCTCTAGGACAGACGACAGCATTTCAAATTTGACGTTGAAGCGTTGCGCATATATCCCAACGTTCCCGGTAAAGATCTTCTCAGCCCAGAAGGTCCTCCTAGCTGGTGGAACAATCACTAAGAACGCACTACTCGACGCCAATGTCACAGAGGTCGCCAGCACCAAAACCATGTCGTCTGGCAACTTCCTGATTCTCGCCAATACACAGAAGGAGAACGCAGCTCCGAGCGCGTTCCCAGTTATCAAGCCTCGACAAACGATCGAGCTGTGGCACTGTCGATTAGGCCATATTGGCATCGACAATCTCAAACGCACCATCACTATTGACTCATGGAATTGAACTTGATCCAGCCGAAGCCTGGACTCGATTCACCTGCGAAACCTGTGAAACCGCGAACCCCATTCGCCATGTATCGAAGAAGCCGCAGCAGCGTGCGCGCAAAGCTTTTGATCTAGTCCACGTCGACGTCGTTGAAATCACGCCAGTCGCTTATAATGGAGATCACTATGCAACTGTCTTCACTGAGGACACTCACCGCATTCGAACAGTCGTCACCCACAAGATCAAAGGAGAAGCCTTTGGCTGTATCGAAGCCTACGATAAGAACACACTTACTCAGTATGGCATACAAATCAAGGAGTGGCATATCGACGGTGGGAAGGAGTTTGGTAGCAATAAATTCACCGACGCCTGCAAGAAGAAGGGGGTTAAAATCAAGATCATCACGCCCCACAACGCCGCAATGGCAGGAATAGCTGAGCGCGCCAATGGCATCATCGCAAGCCGAGCGCGGAGCTGCATGCAAGAGACCAACGCACCGAAGGAGCTCTGAAACGAGTTCTTCAAAGCTGTCGTATATATTACGAATCGAGCTGCGACGTCAACTATCCAAAAGATTACGCCATACGAGTCTCTAATGAATGAGCTCTACCCAGGCGAAGACCATACTCCCGAACTAGGCCACATCCACACGTTAGGCTGCAAGGTGCTAGTATATACGCCAGAAGAGCGTCGCACCAAGTCGGAGAAGCTCGGCGCTCGAGCAGAGAAAGGAATACTCATTGGATTTGAGGGAAACTCAATCTACCGGCTCTATATTCCAACTAGGGTCCATAAAATCGTTCGCTCGTCTCATGTCACATTCCTTGAGGATGATGCTGAACGAAGAAGATATTGAGGTCAACGTCCCGATCCCACGAACTGGCCCTGACTCTAGAATCATTGAACTTACTTCCGATGAAGAAAAGGAAGAAAAAGAAGCCAGCACCGGTGAGACTCATATGCCAAACGTAACTGTCAAACGCGGCCGAGGCCGCCCACTCGGTTCGAAGAATAAACCAAAGAACCCGGACGCCATTCCAATGGATCGCCCTCGTTGCACTCAAACTCGAGTAGTTGCAGACGTTGTAGACGAACAGGAAGATGCCCTCCCATCCACCCCGAGTACGCCGGATGAAGCCAGCTACTTCGTATACTGCTTCGCAGTTAGCTCGCCAGCTGAACCAACGTCATTCAAACAGGCTGAAAGATACAAACTACAGGGCGGGTCAGCGTTGTGTCTTCTCATACTCCTCTCGATTCCCTTCCTCCGCAAGTCCTCCTACGAGATCCTCCTCCGCGCTCATCAAGCTCTGGCATCACTCGTAGTGTATTCCGTTGTACGACATCTCATATCCCAGTCGAACTTCGACTGGAGCTATGTCTACATTTTCGCAGGGGTATTCGCCGCACTGCTCACCTTTCAATGATGTTTCGCAACAAAGCATGGGGTCGTCATTTCCCTCGAGCCTTCATCACTCACATCGACCAGACAGTCATGGTCCGGATGACAATGTCTCGGCCCATAGAAGTCAAGGCTGGCCAGTACATCAACTTATGGATTCCCTCCGGCTTCTGGTCTTTCCTGCAAAGCTATCCTTTCGTAGTAACCAACTGGGCCGACGGAAAATAGGACACATTAAGAGCTTTTCGTCCAACCGCGGAGAGGTCTGACTCGTGAACTCTTCAGTCATGGAACGCTTGATGAGCGCGTTTCCGTGCCTCGTCTGGCTTTGTTTAGCAGACCCCATGGAACTAGTGTACCAGTGGGAGAGTATGAGACGGTTGTTATGGTCGCGACGGGCTTCGGTATCGCCGCACAGCTGCCCTACCTCCGCAAGCTTATCCATGGTTATAATACCTGCAAAGCTCGCACGCGCCGAGTCCACTTGGTGTGGCAACTCCAAAGCCTTGGTTAGTCTTAACATGGGGGGTTGTATTACAAGAGCTAACAAATTCAGATATCGGCGTGGCAGCGCAGTCCCTACTAAACAGTGCCTTGGTTGATGACACCTTGGACGACGGTTATGTGCGTATGGATGGTCATACCCCATATACTTTGCTGACCTTAGACAGACCCTTTGTATCTCAATCTATCTCCAGTCGAGTAGTGGCGACAAGGTGCCTTTCGGTAAACGTGCGAGCATGTATCCAGGCACCGCAAACCTCGAAGAGATCCTCCAAGTTGAGTTGACTGGGAAGCATATTAGAAGAGTGCAAGAAACTCAGGAGAGAGGCAAGACGCTTGTTATGGGTAAGACACCTTATATAACTATCGATAATGCTTACATGATGTAGTATCCGGGCATGCAAGCTCCGAGATCATCTTCGGGCCCTTGTTCGTGCACGCCTGGATGATGGAGTACAATTGCAGGAACTAGACTTTCAGCCAGAATAAGGGCTTTCAAATTGGGACTTTAATGGTTGAGATATAGAAAGTTTCGGTAGATAGAATTAGATTCTCGGGAGCGTTTTGAAGGGCGTGTTTGACCTCGCCATTCGATCGGATCTACCGGTCCATGAGCGATCTACCCATCCATGAGCCTGTCGTCTCGTACGTGATGTCATATGTGCCATGTTTGTTGGAAACCCTATCTAGTATTTTAGAGGTTTCTTCCCTTATTGGATTATCATACACCTTGGGATTGTCTCTAATGCGAGCCATTCTTCAGTCATTGTATACCCGCCATTTACGTTCAGAAGCGCCCGAACGTCGGGCGTGGAGAAGAAAAATATATATTCGTTCCGGAGAACTGGGAGATTCATAATTTCCAGCCATGGGCATTGGGCTTAAAAACTGGATTTGTAGAATATCTTCATGGAGCGACGTAGTTGAAATGGATGCTATGGTGACATCCTGAAAACCGCTTTCAATCAAAATGGTTCGGCGTTTTCTCGCTGCATCTGGAGCGATGAATAAACAGGACACAGCCTAAGGGTGATGGAAACCCTACCAAGGGAGGCAAACACTGATATCAGGCCAGTTGGTTCTCTATTTTGACAGTCAAGTTGCCTTTCTATAACGTCTTTGTTGATTCGATATGAGTAGTCCATATAAAAACGTGCTTGTGAGTCGAAGCCGGAGCCCCCACCGTATGAATTATAAGAGTGAGCTATGAAGTATAAGAGAGAGCATGCTGAACACGCCAAAAGCCGCTCGGCTTTCGGTAGCCAAACATGGAGGTTTCCCGAGTAGGAGACAAATCCCTAGGCTTATATTTCTCGTGAAGTGCTACATCAGCCAGGGTGCTACCACAGCGTCTGTCACAGCCCAAGTGGGGTAAAGCCGTTCCTGGGCAGGCACAAGTGGGTTGGCACAGTGCTCGTGCTTACCTTGGGAATATTCAGGCAGAAAAACAGTTGTCTATTCTATACCTAATCTATCATCAACAACAATTACGGAAGCAAAGACCTTACCTCTCCATTCCATCTCTTCAATGTTGATGGCCCAGGTAGTTGCGGTCTCTATAGCGGCGGACGCATCTGCGGCAGTCCCCATCGACCTCCTCGGTGTCGTTAAATCGGCCTCTGCATCGGCGGTCATGTTGGACCTCACGGCAATCTCTCTCCTCGTATCCGGTGTGCCCGCAGGCAAAATATAAGGTTATTATCCAGCACATGGTAGATGTGGTTGTGGGGTTGTGGTAGGATTGGAGTTGTTTGGTTGGGTATTGTTAGTCTTGAGATTCTGATGATTTTGATGACCCTGATGGGGATCTCGATGATAAAGTGGAGTGAAGTGGTGAATTTGATTTGGGGAGATTGATGGGAATTTTGGGCATATTTATACCCTTTTCTTCTATCATAGCTTGAGCTGAACGGTTTCGCATATGAATACATGGAATCCCAGTCCAGACATGACGTTGTCGCTGGAAGTCAAAGAGACTGCTGCTCACTCCATTGGCTGGGAACTTGACCTGAGGGGGGACAATAACAACCTTTGTTGTAGCCTTTGTCCTCATTGTCCCCCCTCAGGTCAAGTTCCCAGCCAATGGAGTGAGCAGCAGTCTCTTTGACTTCCATACGCAATGCCAATCTACGTCATAACCACCGTCAGCAACAGAACCTTGATCATATAACAATGAGAAGTAACACTCACCTTCATTACAGAATCCTTGTGCTCAATGCCGTTTCAACCCCCCCCCCGGGCCTCCCCAGGCCTCCCGCGCCGCTCCGGAGATTCGAACGCAGCTTTTCGACAGCCTCAGCAAATGTCGGCCCGTCAATTTCGACAATAGTGCAATCCCAACACTTTGCATCACATTTCTCCAACCGAGACGCAGTCATTCGGGCATTTTCCATTGGTGTCGAGGATCTGCGAGCGCTCGGCCCAGGGGCTGCATACCTCGATGCCTGTTTGGACTCGGTGCTCGCACTTCCAGAAGTGGACTTTGACCTTTGTGCACATCGTAGGTAGCGAAGGCGAAGGGCGGACTGTTGCCTCGTAGGTAGCGCTGAGAGACTGTTGTGGCTTTGATGGACGGCTGGCTGCCTGCTTAGTTCTTTGTGAGACGGTGCTTCACTTGACTTCGAATACAGATATGGTTATCGGGTGTAGGACTAAGGAGAGAGAATCCAAGTGGAGAAGGAACGAGGTGTGACAATGGAATTTGGAGATGCGTACGGGTGGCCACGAGACCTGGTGGTGGGTCCGCGTTCGTTCACTCTAACAAAGCGCTTGTCGCTGGACAAAGTGGTAACTCGGTAAAATATAATTTGAGAACAGACAACCACCGGTTTTTTGATGTTGAGAGTGACAAGGAATGAATAACTAGTGTTATCATTGATATTGCGACTACATGGCCTTGAGAGAGTCCCGGATTGCCATATATAAGATAGAAGATTTTCATCTCATACTCTCAAAACCAAACCTCACAAAACGCGTACAGTCTATCCATCCTCAATCAGCCCCAAACCAAGACTCACCAAGCTTCAGAATGTGCGTCACCACCGAGACTATGTGGGAGTGCGGACACACCAGAAAAAAAACGAAATATTGCAAACCCATAAACGCGCCCAGGTATGGTGGGTACGGGTCCAAGGAGAGCTGCCCCGAGTACTACTCGACTTGGGTCCGTAAACCAACGGATTGCAACAAATGCTTGAGGCAGAAACGCCAGAATGAGAAAAAAATAGTCTGAGATGGATGCATTGTATAAGTAGACATTGATATCTCTTTCATACCCTGTTTTCTCCTCGCCATCCTGTGAAGTTGCCTTTCTGACGTTTGTTCGTCATCTGTAGCTCATTGCCCTTCGTGCTTCGTGGGCATGAAGAATCCTACGCAGAAATGCGCGATAATATCCACATCGTCGCCTGTTTTTGCATTTAAATACTATCCAAAGACCTCAGTTATACCAGCACTCAGAAAGTTAGGATATCTAAAGAGGAGGCTCAGAGAAGGATCGACCCTGCCCCACAGCCAAGTGCCAAACGCCCGCCAAAAGCTTGAACCGCCTCGTCCCACTTCTGGTTGACGCGACTGGACTTTCCTGCCAACGCGTTTCCCGTTCGTACAAACCCGCAGCTCATTCCCGAGATGAGATAGCTAACTCGAGACCCAGTTTGCGCGATGGTGCAGACGCGCTACAGGCGACCATTTTCCCTGCCTCTCTATTTCGGAATCCTCGCTGCGCTGTTCGTGGTCTTTGTTGTACCGCTGGTCAAACTGGGGGTCACCATCCTGCAACTATAACCATTATGAGCCTCCTTTTCGCCATTGCCATCTTAGGTAGGAGATTTGACCCTGACACAGCGTACTTGACACAAACTACGCTTAATGATGGGAGGATAGTTCCAGTCAAGCGACCTTTGATAGGCTTCAAGCAGCTCGAGGTGAAGGTTGGTGTGACTGGCGATTACGAGGTACGACCTGATGGATGGAGACACGAACCGGCCCTGCTTCGGATTAATGGCTGAAATAGGCTCCGCGGAGGCAGGTCCAAACCGCGATGCCATCCTGCCCTCGGGTTATTCTTCTGAGGGGCATATGAGGGGCACTCCGTGCACGTGTCATGCAATGGCCTCTTAGTTATTGCGGCCATAGAATGGCCTTTCAGTTACCGAGGATATATAATGTTTCTTCATATTGTGGGTTGACTTGGTATTCGGTTTAGAACCATGGAGGTCAATATGCAATACGAACTCAGGCGTTGGATAGGAGCCATAACAAACCAGCTCCCACTGCTCAGCCACCCCTTCCCTCCTCGGCCTGCTTCAGCTTCTCCTCCATCTCCCAGTCGCAAGTCGGACACAGCCCCTCGCTGCTTTTCTTCTCCAACCGATGGTCGTCGCACTCCTTGTACGGGTCCGCGTTCATCAACGAGAACGGCCACCAGCCCTTCGTCGTGCGCTCCTCGACGATCTTGGTGCAGTGGCTGAAGGACTGCGGGAAGCGGTGGCTGCATTCCATGTAATAAGCTTCGGTCTTGAGACACATATCGGGATCGGGATCGGGATCGGGCGACGGGCCCGGGATCCTAGTGGCGTCGCGCTATTGAGGGGGAATGGGCTAACCTCGATTGGTAAGGATTGTAGGACATTGCGATGGGGGTGCTTTGATTGGATTACTCACAACCTCTAGGTTCGAAAGCTAAATTAATTAAAGAAAGTTGAATATCATGGAGGGATTTTGGAAGAGAATTAATATCCTAGCTCGAGGTATTATATGAGGGGTATTTCACTGCTGGTTCCAAAATTGCGATTGATGGTGCTCGGCAGACAAGGATGGACATCCCGGAGGGACAGGTCAGGTTATATTTTCCAAACTCTGGCTGTTATGAAACATTCTGAAACAAAGAGAGCTTCGAATGCCGTGTCCTCTGGAAGGGCAGTCGATGGCCATTTACATCCTTTGCGGGCGACTGATATCTATAGGTACAACTTCCAGCCACATCCGGCGTCTCAATCGGATAATTACACCGCCAGGAGCACACAACTCAGCGTTTGGGTAACCTGAGAGAAAGTCTATTGGAAAACTCAGAAGTTAGCATGGTTATAAGGATAGCCGCGTCTCGCGTTCTAATCCAAGGGTTTTGCCAACCTACATTGTCTGAGATGGATCGGACATAACTCGTGGCTGCGACTTTCCGGATAAAGACTCCACGTCCTGCTAGTGCCTGCCAGCGGATATTGCCTCTGTGGCAGTTGTATCAATCAGAGCTGTGTACCTTGTGAGCTGTCCGTGCTTGACTCCAAACGCATACTCTGTTTCCTTACCATGACACAAATACTTCTGCCCGGATATCATCAACTTGTCCACCAATGATAGCAAGAGAATTCCTGCGGCGTTTCCTCCGACCGGTCTTTGGGCGGCTGTTTTTATCATATGGACCCATTGAGCGCGATCTGTCACGATTCTTCTGACTCTGTGAGAATTAGCCACCTTTCACTTTCCACACTTGCGCAGCTTCTGTCGTGATGAAGCCAGTCAGTTGCACTTACCTTCTTTGTGTTCCACACAGGAAGAGCAAGATGGCCAGCATGTTTGTGTGACCCACCTTCCTTCTCCTTCACCTTCTCCTTCGCCCTCTCCTTCACCTTCTCACTACTCATCTTTCCTTCGGACTCGTCCGTCCCGGCGATATTCAGTTCCCTAAGTGCGACGAGCGCCAGGGTTGCTGTGACCTTCATTTGTTTGATGCAGTGGTTACAAAAGTCGACGGTTTCCAGGATTATGGTGTAATGGTTTGGGCACTCTAATCCAAGGGCATTGGCGTTGCTTTCGAGTCGCTCTGTCATGGGTCCGCAGTGCTCAAGTGGTTGACGGTATCTGTGATTGCATGGCTCGTAGTAGATTTCTTGTGCGAGACACATTTTGAAACTTTTGAAGCTTTAAAGCAATTGATCAGATGGCTTTGTGTGTGGATATTAAAGTGCTAGCAAAGCAATGATGTGATGAAATTCTGGTTGTTGTGGTGGTTATGTCGGTTGTTTGACAACAAAGACAGCCTCACCGAAGTGTCTCTGGAGACTTCTAGTTCTCATACCAAATAATCATGGGAAATATTACTAGCTGTCGAACTGAACTGGGAAAGATGGGTTTCATATTCTTTACATATCGCAAAGTTGGACTATTCTACAGACCAAATGCCATACCTAACATTAACCACAATCTTTTGCCCACGGCCATCTTCATTTGCCTCCATTAAATAACCTATTCAACAGAGACGTTGATAACCTCTCACGGTTTCCAAAATACCGCTGCCAGTATTGAGTCGCAGATAAGAATGAGGGCTATAGTGCCAGGTGGCTGGTAGGTCATTGGCAAGCACCCGCGACAATAAGTTGTTCATTGCTTATTTAAGTGGCATAGCAAAAGAACTTTGCATTCTTCTTCCATCCGAGGCATCCACTGTTGCAATTTTGAGCCTGATTCATTCCGTAGCTGCCTCCAATGGCAGCGAAAAGCGCAATGGGCTGCGCCGCTGTTGAGCATTCCCAAGGTGGTTGCGGAATGAAAGACCACAACCACCATCCCCCAACCACCGATCGACTTTTCATTGTTGAAGCGGGCTTTCATCAATTAAATATAAGGACCCCTTGCAGCACGACGTCAACTGCTCTTTCTGATTCTCATCCGCAGCTGCTTGTACTCTTCTTTCCGTGTCCTTGGTGATTTATCAGAAGCTTCCCCACCCGTCTTATTATCAGCGCTACGTTTGCATTTCTCCAGCTTTTCAGCCAACTTCATACACTCGGCGCAATCCATATTTATCCCGGACTGGTTCTCAGTAAGTTGACCCGCTTCAGCCCCCGAAGTTCCGTTCATGGCGGCTTGTCGAAAGTCTCAGTCGACACGCTTGGTTTGTGAGGTATTGGATAGCGTCGCGGTGTGGAGCATGAATTATATACTCGAGTACCGTACCCTTGCGTTTGGCGATGTAACCAACACAATGTCGGTTGCCTGTTGTTGTGCATTTTTTGCACTCATGTGTGTAACTCTGCGGGCATATGCACATGCCAACATGAGGCTTCCTGGGCATGCATGTTGGTATATCGGGGATGCTTAGTGGCTCCAACAAAAAAAAATACTGGTCACAGGAGACTCTTTTGAGGTTTCCTCTGGACTGGTTGCTGTGTGGCTCGTTTATATTCAGCCTGAAGTATATATGAGCACGCAACTCGTTGGTTTTTCTGTCGACAACAATTCTTTTGAATGATCCAACATCGCTAAAATGTGACCAGTAATGCTGGGAATCAGATTATGCTTGTTTTCTATTTTGGATGAAATATAATCGTGATAATTGCTCGAGCAAATCACAGTTTTCAAAGCATGCATCTCCACACCTTCATATTCACACCACATTGTACCCTACCTTCAAACCCTGAACCACGTCACCAAAACAAACCTGATCACTATTATTCATGAATTCAGCGGCTGCAACAGATGCAAGACACCCAAAGAGGTCAATGTATACTTTGAGATACCAGCCACGTCAAGAAGTTCAACATTGTTGCACACAATGTTCCAAACTCTGCGCACGGCATTCAAGTGCAAGTGCAACGTCAGAGAAAGCTTGACGCTGGCAGCATACAGAATATAAAATGCCCGCCTTCATTTTCAAAGGGATTATTGATAGTAGGGAGAATAAGCAGGCACGCTACTGCCTATTAGCTCCGCGCTCCGCCATCCGCCAGCTTACAAGGGACCATCATACATACGGTTCTGGAGTCCCATCTTGAGCGAGGAGATTGCCTCGTCGTCTGGACTTGATGATAATATTGGCATATTTAAAACTTTATGCTCATTACTCGAGTTCCCCAGGGTTCGAGATTTTGTAAGCAGTGGAAAGGGGCGCCGATTCTCTGATGTGATGATAGTACTCGAGTAGCCCTGCGCTAGTAAACTGAGAATGGGCCCATCTAAAGCTTCCTTTACGTGATATAGAACTAACCCATAGCTCCAGGCACCGTCGAAATTAGATCCAACTTTGATCTGATTCTCTTCTCTGTGCATTTAAATACTATGTTCCCTTGTCAGTTACGAAAGTAATTGCACTCATCAAACCCTCCGCGGCGACACCAGGCGCAAACGTCAACCTCGCCGCCCCAAAATCCAATCGGAATAATAATCAAATAAACGATATTTATATCGCAAGAAGTATAACATGCCGGAAGGAACTCTGCCAATTAAGGGACCTGTAAGTAAATCCATCCAACAGAAATGACTTGCAGCAAACAGTTCCAGCATCCCGCAACCGTGGGCATCATCTTCGTCGCAGTCGCCTTCATCACCATCCTTCTGATCAGCCTATACTATTCTTTTTTCAATAAGATGAGGAAGCAAACTCGTTTGGAGCAGAGGGTTGCAAGGAATGAGCGGGCGTTTGACAGTGACAACAGAGATGACGAAGACTTGGAGATGCAGGAAGCTCCTTTCGATGATTTGAAGATGCCGCCCAAAGCGATGACCCGCAAATAATGTTCCAAAGTTATTATTTCTGGGGTAATAATCTTGGATATAGACAGGAATAAGGGCACAGATTAATAATATGTATTATCTTTTTGTTGATGAAGTTCAGTTAAACAATGTTAAACTAACCTGTCAGACCACTTTATTCGTGCTAGGCGAGGACCGGGTGATGGGGGCCGCTAAATCGTTTTCGGCAATTACAAAACGTCCACGCAACTCGAAAAGAGGGCCACTTCTGATCATAAACAATGCGACTCGGCCATCAACTTTGATTTGTAGTAATATTATATCTATTCTTTTCATCTGCTGTCTCAGGGTATAAGCGAATCTGATAAATGCGTGGTTCTTTGTTATTTATTGGAATACTTCATAGGCGTCCGTGACGCTGATTGACCAAGCCACCAGTGTTTTATAGTGACGACCGAAACGACTTACTTTGACTAATACCGCACCAAGGAGGATATACCGGATTCTATAAGACATAGATTGGCCATCCCATTAATGCTAGTCGTCATATTCAGCCGTGATGGATGTCGACAGTATGGGTAGTTCATCAGGTGGAGTCGTCGACCCACACGGATCAAGCACTAAGATCCATCTCGACCAGATGTCATATATATCGCAAGGTAGAGTGCAGGTTCCAATTTTTAATACCTCTGTGGTTTCTCTCACCATCAATGAGGCCTCTTGTGTCCGGAAGAAGCGGATTAGCTGCTAACACGCTTATAGAGCAAGACGACGATGAACGCAGCATTTTATCTCAAAGTGGACCGCCTTTATTAAATCTTCCAGCAGAGCTTCTTGATTTCGTTCTATCGTATCTCTCTCCCAGAGACCTGGATGCGGTTGTTTATTCGTGCCGTCACCTCTATGTACGGGGAACCAACGATCGCCTCTGGCAGCCACTTGTCCAAGAAAACATCCCAGGCTGTATTTTAGAATCACCTTCGCCATGTTCCAGCTACCGCGGTTTGTACCGTGCCCACGATCCGCACTGGTTTGTCCCCAAAATGAAAATATGGTTTGGAGATCAACACCTCTTTGGCCGGATCATGATCACTTATTATAACCCGTATCTGGGTGCCATCAATGGATACCGGCTAGTTGCAGAGCGGGCTCCGACAATCGAGTACACTTGGGACCACGACCCAAACGTTATTATTGTTTCGTTTAAACCCAACGTCAGGCTCCATACGGACATGCCACTGCTGAGACTGGAGGCACTGAGCCCGGATGGCAATTATGACAGGGCTTCTCATCGCTACGATTTTGAAATTCCCATGTCTCTCAGCGATCTGACAGACACCATAGCTCAGTCAGCATTTATGTTGGCCCGGCCAGCTGAAGCTCATCCAAATTCATCTATGTGGCCGCCTGTTACAATCCCAACTAGCCAGCGAGTAATAAGCCTCGGCGACGACATTTTGGCTGGCCATCGCCATGTTAGTTCCCTGGTCCAAATGATGACGTTCAACCAAACCTTCACAGGCGCGCAGAAGCCACGAAATCGCGACGAGATAAATGAACAAGCTTTTAGAATACGCCACTGGATGCACACGGTTGCTGGCCATCGGGGAGAGCCTCTGCAAATAAGTACATATGCCACTCTTGATCCGGCACTCTACACTCCCACGTATACACGACCGTTCCGAGGGATCTGGGTCGGCGATTAGTAAGTCTTGGCCTCTATTATCTATACACTCAGCTCATAGTTTTAGTTCTGCTCATGGCTGCGAATTCATTCTTCTACATCAGCCGGATGACGATGAGCCATTTGATGAGTCCGCCATTGTTAAACGGTCCGATGAAAGCCAGGAGCAGTTCCTAGCCCGGAAAAAAGATGCACAGATCTACCGAGGTCGTTTGGAGGCAATAAAACTCACCGGAGATCCAAACATCCCGCGTGGAGAATATACCTTTATCGCCGAGGACATTGGGGACGATGGTCTGGTCCGTATTGCCAAGGAAGATCAATTCAAGGGCGCAAGAATTGTTAAGAGCAAGGGGCAACTTGCGAATAGAAATTTCATGAACCGTACGTATTTGATGCTCCCATAAGCCTTCGTATAAGTTTTCAAGGGTATATCTGACGAGTGCAGCCGAGTATTTCGAGAGCCAGCTCATACTTATCTCCCCCAATAAAATTGCCCATTACTGGAAATCACTGGGCATTATCTGCTTCCATGAAAGGGTCAAACTCGATGATTTTATTATCCCGAATCGCAAACTATATATGGCGGATTGACGGAAAGTACTTTCTAGCGGTAGAGACTAAATATATTCAGTCTATACGGCATGCTTGAACGTCTCGTTTCATTTGCGACCAACAAACAGGCTTTGGCTGCTCAGTTACCTGAGGCAGGGGATCAGGAATAAATATAAATCGGGATTGCGATTATAAAATCCTCCACATAACTTATAGCATAAGTTTATAGATTATTATGAAAAAGACTTTGTTTTACTAGCCCGATCTTATGGCATTCTTGTCGATGCCGAGGCAAGCTAGACTCGGCATTGACATCAACATCGTCATCGCTGTGGGGCACCGAACCCAAGAAATTCCGTCCATATTCCGGTCGGCCTCGAACCTGGCAAATTCAACACATTGAGAATGCATCAACCCGCGGGCTATTATATGTTGTGAACTCAGTCCCGCAGGTTATACTCGAAGTAATTGGGCTATTGTAGTGCTACAATTGCTGTGTTGCCGCCGCCGTCCGTACTACGTGCGATCCGGGCAGACCATACAAAAAGCCGGGCAGGACAGCGTTTCTTGACATTTTTCACCGCTGGTAATACATACCATGGCGCACAATAAATACACCCTCCGTGTCACGGCGGGCACTTCCTACGATCCCAGCACGCACGAGACTGTCACCGTAAACTCTGCGACGCCCATCTCCATCAAGTCGGAGCACACCGACGTTTCGCTCAATATCCGCATCCGGGTCCGCACTCCCATTCTCTCCCCTCTATGCTCTCCCTCGACTTGCCATAGGCTCTCAGCTAACCAGTCTCTTTCTCAGAATTACCACGGACTTCCTCACTCCTCGCCGGAAAACAGCCCGTATTTTTCCTTACCCGATTACACCAAGCACCAGTACTCGATCTCCTTCTCATTCAACCCCACCGAAGCAATCCCCGGCGATGATCTGGTGTTTGGAAACGATTTCGACCATCCCATAAGAGATAGGTTACCGCCGGCATTTGGATCCGCGTTCAAAATTGTCAAATGGGCTGTTGATCCGGGCCTCGAGGCGGACGTGTATGCGGACAAGCCGTGGTTGTTTGGAAAATTCCTGAGCAGCATCGACAAGTTATGGCTCGGCAGCAAGAACGGCGATTCTTCAGGCTCACCAGGAGCCAAGAAGGGTAAGGAGAACTTCGATGAAAAGATCGGGATTCTCGTTCAAGAGGGCGGGGCAGCTGATGGTCTGGCTTACCGGAAAGAGAAGGGCATACCTGATACCGCTGCGGCGCGGAAGAAGTATTTTCTCGTAGAGGGCAATCGCAAAGGCTTCGAATTCGAGGCTGGCCGGCCCGTGTTCGTTGATTTCGGGAACCCGTACCTGGATTTCAACAAATTTGCGCTCAAGCTGCCCGGCTTCCACCTCCCCATCATGTCTTACTGGGACGGCCAACCACTCCGGTATGTTCCCTTTCTCATATTGCCCCTTCTATTTTCTTTGTTCTGTTAAAATCGTTGGCGAAAATTATCTACGCCGCATTGTATCGATCACGAAAGGCCAACCAAGCTACAGCAAAGGAGAGAAGAGGACGATCAGACGCTCACATAGCCTCAGATATGTGCTAAAGAATCGCGTTACTGGGGTTGTGTATCTCGTCGTTCTGTTTTCGTTGTATCTCAAGGAAGATGTCAATGAGGATGGGACGATCAAGGAAGGCGTCGACTTGAATAAGGGCAAGCAAGTCACTGTGGAGGAGAAGGACGTAGAGGAAAGCGAGAGTAGCAGTGATGAAGAACAGGAAGAGGAAAAGCCTGCTGCCAAGAATGGGGACAAGACCGACGATAAGAAAGAGCAGTATGGCGACACTAACGCGGACGATGTGGATTAGACGGCGGGATGGGACGTAATAATTAGAGCACAACATGCTTGTTCATGTTATGCTTGTTCACAGTGGGCAAAATTTAAAAGTCGGAAATAAAACGTAGAAAGACAGTATGTACATATAAAATTATATATTCGCCCGAATATCCACCTTTTTTTCACTATTTTCGACTTGATCATCAAGAATGATCACAGCCTTACCCCAGACCTTTCGGTCGGCCATCTCCTGCATCGCGCGAGGGATGCTCTCCAGGCCTTTGAAGTCCCCATCATATACCGTTGGCTTAACGTCGCCATTTGTGATCATGGGATCTAAAGTTTCCCAAATAGCTCTCGTTTCTTCGGGGTTCCGTCGATGAGTCTCCCCATATCTATACCCAATAATCACTGCCTGTTTCAGCAACACACGATTCATTGCAATCTTCTCCATATTCCCTTCTCTTCCCGCGAAGCCGATAAGCAGTATGCGTCCGCCATGCTTCAGACACCTCAGGCTTTGGTCAACAAGGCCCACGGGGTCGTATACAACATCCACACCATCGCCGCCGGTTACTTCCAGTACCCGCTTCTCCCATCCCTCATCCGAGTAGTTTACTAGGTAATCAGCCCCAAACTTCTTCGCCACAGCCAGTTTCGCAGTTGTAGACGCCGTCGCAATGACAGTACAACCAAGAGCTTTGGCGATTTGCACAGCCATCAACCCCAGCCCTCCTGCCGCAGCATGCACGAGCACAGACTGCCCCTTCTCCAAGCCCGCCCTCTTCAGCGCACCGTATGAGACGGGCAAGGTTGAGCTAATGCCCGCTGCATCTTGGAACGACCACGAGGAGGGGATTTTGCGGAAGGAAGTGAGGGGAACGTAGATGTGTGTTGCGAAGGCACCGAGGTGTGAACCGTAGACGCGGGCGCCGGGGGAGAAGGAAGAGAAGGGTAGAGCGGGGGGATTGGTTAAGAGGATGGCGCCGGAGAATTCACTGCCTAGAGTGAATGGGGGTGTGTGAAGTGATTTGTTGTTTTGATGTTTACCACGGGCCTGATAAAGGTTAATTGGAGCTTCTGAGGTGGATTTGATGGCGTGGCTGCCTCTGGGCGAAGAGGGTGATTTGAGGTTGTAGTAAATTCCAAATAAAGGTGGAATGATTGTCATAAGAAAAAGAGGCAAATATAGCAATTAGAAGGGTTCCTTACATATAAAAGGTCAACAAAGGTGATGCCAGCCGCTTTCACTTGCACCAGAGCATGGCCATATGGGACATCATGGTGCCCCAGCTCAGTTACTTTAAGCTCGTTATAATTCTAGGCCAAGAGGTTAGCTTCTGATGTCAAAATATATTTGAATCAAGACATACATTAACAAACTTATCCACGACAAGAGCCTTCATTTTTCTCCAAAACAAGCAGTTCTGTGCTTTGTTATAGCCAACGCCTTTCTGAGTTCAACTCGAGGGGAAAGGCTGAAGTCCAGGCTGAACATTGGTTATCCCGACCCGATCAACCTATCCCCTTTAGGTTAGCGCCCAATACGCCGGTACATGCCGTGAATCGCTAGCGCGAATTGAGCCAGAGGCAACACCAAAGCAACGATGCAAGGGTAGATCAAGCACTTTGGCCTCAATTTCTTGGTCCTTTGACCTCAACTTCTATCGATCTAGACAGGATCATTGTACCTCTGTCCATATCCACGGAGTGTAGTCACCATCATGTCTACGGCGAATTTCCTCGATCAGCACTTCTCCGACTCAGAGGATGAGGGTGATTTCAACCCGGCGCCCGCTGATTTGTCTGATGAGGAGGGCGCAGACAACGACAATAGTTCGCCAGCGCCACCGAAGAATCGAGGGAGCTCAGTGAGCAACAGGCAGCAAGAAGATAGTGACGAAGAGACATCGCCTGCGCGAAAGTCTAAATCGCGCAGTCGAACTCCGGGGGAGCGCGGTGATGACAATAACGATGAAGACAGTGGCGCTGGACAGGACGACGAAGATGAGGAAGAAGACGAGGATGAAGAAGAGGAAGAGGTCACAGTAAGTTACGGCCCTGCCTGACATTGTGCCAGCCTGTCGCGACGCGATATGGCTCAGTGCCCTTTCTGCTTACAGAACTAATTTGCTCCAAGGGTCACCGAAGAAAACGCAGAAGGGAACGGCGCAACCAGTTCCTCGATGTAGAGGCCGAAGTGGACGAAAGTGAAGACGAAAACGATGACGACGATGACGAGCTGAACGAACTCAAAGACAACTTCATCGCTGATACACACCCCGACGATGCCTTTGACCTCCCAGCTGGTGGCGATGCCGACGACAGGCGCCACCGTGAGCTCGATAGGAGACGAGAGATGGAATCCAGTCTCGACGCGGAGAAACAGGCTGAGATTCTGCGACAACGTTACGCCAAGACCAGGAGTGCGAAGCTCGGTGGGGATTCAGCGGTCGTTCCAAAGCGATTGCTGCTTCCCAGTGTCGACGATCCAAGCATCTGGGCTGTGAAGTGTAAAGAAGGCAAAGAGCGCGAAGTCGTATTTTCGATTACGAAGCGCCTAGAGGAGCGATTCGGCACGAAAGATGAGCTCTCTATTATATCCGCTTTTGAGCGCGCAAACGCAGCGGCGCCCATCAAAGGATACATTTACGTCGAAGCTCAGCGCCAGGCAGAGATTGAATCTGCTCTCGATGGCCTCATGAATGTCTATCCCCGGACGAAGATGCTACTGGTGGAGATCAAAGAGATGCCGGATTTGTTGAGAGTGTCAAAGACCGCCCCGCTGGAGCCGGGTGCATATGTACGCCTCAAGCGACCAGCAAAGTACGCCGGAGACCTTGCGCAGGTTGTCGATGTCACAGAAAACGGCTTAGAAGTGAGGGTCAGATTCGTGCCACGCCTTGACTACGGTCTACATGAGGATATGAACACTCCTGGTCTCGATGCGCAAGGCAAGCGAAAGCGTGCCAACGCTGGCCCAAGGCCGCCACCAAGGCTATTCAGCGATGTCGAAGCAAAGAAGCGACATGCCAGATACCTCACCGGCAACCCACAGACGAAAATTTGGAACTATATGGGCGACGAATATAATAATGGATACTGTGAGAAGGATGTTAAAATCCAGCAGATCCAGGTTAAAGATGTGAACCCAACGCTTGAAGAAGTCACAAGATTCGCATCTGGTGCAGATGATGGCACGGAGAATCTTGACCTGAATGCCCTGGCAGCAAGCTTGAAAGCTAGTACCGCAAACGCGTCCTACCTCCCTGGCGATATCATCGAGGTTTACGAGGGCGAGCAGAAGGGTGTTTTTGGTAAGGCGATAGCAATTCAGGCCGATATCGTTACCATGGCTGTAACGGATGGAGTACTCAAGGGCCAAACAATCGAGGTACCAACCAAGGGCCTCAGGAAGAGGTTTAGGCAGGGAGATCACGTCAAGGTTATTGGCGGAAGTCGCTTCCGGGATGAAGTGGGCATGGTCGTTAAGATCGTCCAGGACCGAGTTACGCTCTTAACCGACCAAGGCAACAACGAAGTTACGGTTTTCAGCAAAGACTTGCGAGAGTCTAGCGATTCCGGCGGTGCTGGTTCATTGGGTCAATTTGAACTTTGGGACCTTGTTCAGCTTGACCCAGCCACCGTCGCCTGTATCATCAAGGTTGACAGGGAGTCTCTGACTGTACTTGACCAAAACGAGCAGACCAGAACCGTTATGCCGTCACAGATTGCGAATAAATTGGAACGCCGAAAATTTGCCGTTGCCACTGATCGCAACGGATCTGAAGTCCGCACCGATGATGTTGTCAAGGAGATTGGCGATGGTGGCAGGCAAGGAAAGATCATGCACATCCACAGATCGTTCCTCTTCCTCCACCACAGCGCGGAGCAGAACGAGAATGCCGGAGTGTTCGTGGTGCGCACGACCAATATCGCAACTATCTCTGCAACTGGGGGCAGGATTATTGCGTCGGCTGGTCCAGATCTTTCGTCTATGAACCCCGCTATAAAACTAAACCCGCAGGGTGGAAATATGGACATGCCTCCGCCCAAATTTGTTGGCAGAGACAGATCAATTGGCCAAACTGTCACTATCAAGAAGGGTCCATACAAAGGACTTCTGGGTATTGTCAAGGAGACCACAGACACGACTGCACGTGTCGAACTCCATACCAAGAGCAAGACAGTCAATGTACCAAAGGATGCCCTTGCGTTCAAGGATCCAAGGACCGGTAATACGATCGACCCAAATTCACGAGGTGGGTACCGCGGCGGCGGCGGTGGATCAAGAGGAGGGCGTGGAGGCTTTGGCGGTGCTACTCCTTCTGGGAACGGCTGGGATGGTGGTCGTACACCCGGTGGGGCGGGCGGCAGCGACCGCACCCCTGCATGGGGACGAGGTATGTTCATTTGTACAATCCAATTGGTAGTCCCATACCAACGTATCTCACAGCCGCAGCATCGAATGGTGGTGGTCGAACTCCAGCATGGAAGGCAGCTGCAGACGCTGGTGGACGGACCCCAGCATGGCAAGACGGCTCGCGCACTGTCGCATATGGAGCTGGAAACCGCACTCCCGCATGGCAAGCTGGCGGGAAGACACCCGCCTACGGAGGTTTCGGCTCAGGCTCAGACGGTTTCGCAGCCGGTTCCAAGACGCCCGCCTATGGTAGTGGTGGCAGCGATGCCTGGGGCTCTGGTTCCAAAACGCCAGCGTACTCCTCGAACGAGCCCAGCAATACAAGCTCTTGGGGCGCAAACTCGTATGATGCTCCGACTCCGGGCGCGCAAGTCACGGCCCCGACGCCTGGTGGCTTAAATGCGCCGACTCCGGGCGCGTATAGTGCGCCTACGCCGGGTGCGAGTGGCGCTGCCAGTGCGCCGACACCTGCAGGGTGGGGAGGCGGAGGATGGGGCGGAGCGCCGGAGAATGCACCAACTCCTGGAGCATTGGCCGCGCCGACGCCGGGTGGATGGGGAGCGCCAACGCCTGGTGAATGGGGGGCGGATGGTGGTAATGAGGATGGGCCGAGGTATACTGACGAGTGAGGCGTCCGGTGCAGTGCTATGATATGGGAGGGTAAGGCCGAGCTGTCAGGCTGTCGGGGATTTAAATCTAAAGAGGTTCTAGGCGGATCTTGAGAATGGGGACTTGGTTTGTACATGTATTATAGAGATCGGGAGTTATACAAAATGCAGTCGGGCATCATTGCTGGCGTTTCAAACCATATCAGTAGAGCACAAATCCTGCGTGAAAACCTCGTAACTTTCGGTGATAGATTAACAGCTGTATACTACGCTAGCCTGCCCCTTTCTATAGCCTGCCCATCTCTTTATTACACAGGCAGGCCCTCATCATACCTCCCATAAATCACCCCAATTCCCTCGCCCACATCTCAACACTTCTCTTCAAAACCTCCAACTCCTCCATCTCATGCCAAAAATGACCCCCATTATTAACCTCCACGGCTCTGAACCTGCTCCCCCTCGCACCCTCCAACTTCTGCGTCCACCTCCTCATCCTACCAGCATTCGAAAAGGAATCCTTATTACCAAACACCACCAGCGTCTTGTTCTCCACAAACTTCACGTCCCCCGCGCTAAGTGCAGCGGTGCTAGCATGAGTCTCCTTCTTGTGGAACAAGAGGCTGGGTAAGAGCGATTTCGCAGACGTAGTGGTGAACACAGTCGCCAACCCACCAACCACGCCCTGTATGGGTGAGATGAGGAGGTATGCCGCGTCCATCTCACCAAACTGGAGAAGTGGCATAGGAGTCGCCGCTGCCGTCGCGGCCGCAGCTTCAGAGGCCTCTTCCGGACTCACCACCACGGATGCGCCGCCGGGGGTATCAATAGTAGCTGACGAGCTATTCGCGCGTCTCTCCGTCTGCGACGCTTGCCGGGATGGGGGAGGCGAGAAGCGGGGTCCGTCTAGACTCTTCCGCAAACTCCTAACTCGCTCCAGGCTCCTCCGGCCCCAGTCGCTGTTTTCTAGCCTGTCGAGACGCAAGCTCCTCCTGCCGTGGTGAGAGTCGAGACTCGTCCGGTGATGGGCATCTGATGTTTCGTCGCCGCCGACTCGTAGCCCTCCTGACATGTTCCTCGCAAGCTGGCGCCGTGTAGCTGCTTCCGAGGCGCGCTTGAGTCGCTCGGTGTGCAGGGTGTTCTGCTCCTCGGCGAGATGTTGCGCGCGGAGTCGTATTTCGGAGGCTGTGGTGCCAGGGAGGGGGGATTGGAAGGGCGTGAGGAGGGTGGACAGGGGCGGGAGCATGGTGGTTATGAGAGAGCCGTAGGAGTATCCCGCTAGGAGCAGGAGGGGTGTGTTGTCCACTGGTGCCGAGTCGCGGTTTGTGGACGCGCTGGAGGAAGTCGTGGGACAGGCTGGAGGCTCGGATACGGGGTTCGCGGGGAGTTGTGAGGGTATGGTACTTAGTTCGTAGGTGCCGGCATCAGGAACAGATCCGGCGGGAGACGCAGGTTCCAAGTCGAGGTGGTGCATGAAGGCCGCCATGAACCCAACCATGGAGTGGTAATCGCATACTTCCGGTTTCCCATTCCACGACGTCTTACCTTTGGAGGTAGCCGCACCACTGTCTAAGTCAGCACCTCTCCTAAAGTTTGATCCAACGCTTCAGCATATCAGCATACCGGAAGTTGAACAACCCCACCACGAAACCCTGCTTCAGCAGTGTTCCTGCGGTCTGCTGCACGATATAATCGTCGCAGCTCCCACCTAGCGGCGCATACGGATGTGCTATTATCGCCGCCTTCCTCCTTTTCGCAGTCCACCTGTGAGTGTCTGGGGCGCGAGCCTCCCCGTTCAGCTCGCGTCTAACCCTTTCTTCCTCACGTTGTTTTTCGTCATCGCCGGACCAGCTCCCCGAAGATGAGTCCGTGGATGCAGCGGGGTCGTATAAGGTGGTCGGGAAATAAACTCGGCAGTCGAGCACCGTCTCGTCCTTCAGCGAAGGAAGTGTCAAGCTCAGCGTGGGCTTGAGAACCATCCTGTCGCTTGTGGGGTCCGCTCGGTGGCGGTCGGGTCACCTTGGTGGGCACTGCCTCAGATCAGTCGCTAGGAGGCATTGAGCTGTAGATGTGGTAGAATCGATCGCCCATCAGCGGCGCGCATGCTTAGGGTCCCATGGAACTGGCGACTTGGTTTGTCGTCTTGATGAGGAGGGATTGTTGCGGGCGTCAGGCCGCGAATCGCGGGGCGGGAATCGCGGCCCGAGATAATCGTCGGTGTTCGCACCGACCACCCCGCAGGTGGTCGGCGAAAGCAAGTTGCACACCGCCAGATACTCGAGTAGTATTGGTATATAGATTCCAATACAACCACCATCGTAATAAATGTACCATGACTTTTGACTGTAAATGATAAGCTATTCCTAACGTCAAAATAAACCAGGATCTAAATTGTCCTCAAGATCAAGCTCATGGTCTACAAAAAAGCTATCGCTCTCCTCCACATCTAACCCACTGAATCTAATAAAACCAGTATCCTCATCTTCGTCTACTTGCGACTGTGAATAGCCCATTGTTGAAATTAGCTGGGAGGTAGCTTCTTCGCTCTGATTCTGAGCTAATTTCTCTGGGTCTTGAATTGGCTCAAGTAAATCAAGAGGAACCTCCTTATTTGCCTTTAACAGAATACTAACTTGGACGCTTTCTTGCCTGCTCAGCTTTGCGTGCTTCTACTCCACGCTTGTGGAGTGCCTTCTTGACTTTGCTCAGTGCAATCCGTAACCTATAATTTGCAGTCCGCTCCTGTGATTCCTTATGTTTTTTAGCCTTGTCTTCTTTCTTTTTCTGTGCGTCTCTTGCTGTTAACGGACCACTAGTTGTCTGAAGAACAGAGCGACTTCGGATCTTACGGATTTAAGGATCATCCTTATACAGAAATAATCCTTATTTTACAGCTAAAAAACTACGGGACCAGACTACCCATCCTTATACCGAGGATATCCTTATATCGAGGGATCCTTATATCCAGGTTCAACTGTACTATAATATTTAGGTTCGTTTAATAAAAGTTCATTTAAATATTAACTGGCTAACAAATCCATAACTTACACTTCTAAAAATTTATCTCAAGATATTGAAGCCAATGATCTTGTTTATTGCAGAACCAAGGTATTATTTAAACATATAAATAGCAGCAATGCAGTTTAGGAAGTTGAGCACCGTAGATGACTGTCCGTGGTTGGGTCCCAAACTTCAACATAATGTGATAGGGTATATATATGTAACTTGCATCGAGACGCCATGAATGACTAGTCCTATACAGAGTATCTGCCGGATTACTCAAAGACCTAATCAGGATGGCTGGCTAGCCATAGAAGCGATCACGCAAGATGTAAAGACACCAATAACTTTTTCCCCTTAATTACACGGAGCAATATAAATAGACGTAAGCCGCCAGCGTCACGACCTGCCTGTCTAGATCCAACATCTCCCCTCTAAATCCCCATGTTGAATCATTCCCCAATAACCTCCCTATCCGCCATCTCGCAGTGAAAGCCCAAAACCGACCTCCTATATGAGATCAAATTGCCCTTCACCCGCTCATGAAGAAAAATTCTCCCCACGAACCCCCTACCACCAACCCGCCTCGGCCACATCTATATGCCGACCAAAAGCTTAAACGTATAATAACCTCAGAGCCGCACACTCAACTACTACATCGCAGCTCAAGCGCTCGACCCCCTCACCTTCTCACTCTCCACCACAATCTCCGACGTCCCATGCTTCAAACACCTCCTCAACACCCACTCCTCCCACACCGCTCTCTGCTTCGCCGTCACGCGCGTCGTCGGCCCATCTATGCCCTCCTCCTCATCAAGCTCCTTCAATGTGGGACACGTACACAAGGATAACGGGATGGGCGTTGCGACGTGCGGCGGCGGGTCAGGGAAGTCGTTTTCGTCGCCGCTGATGTGCCCGTTTGTGTCGGCCTCGTTGTCGATTGAGGGTGCATGGTGCTCGCTGCGCTGGCTAATGCTATCCCACATGTCGTGGGCGTCGTCTGTGCTGGGAAGGTCGGAGGAGTCGTGGACGCCGTTTTCTAGGTCGTATTCGTGCTCCGTGTCTGTGGGTTCTATGCATGGGCCGTCCAGGGTGCTGTCGACGTCTGTGGTGACCTCGTTGTGGTCTTCCTGCTCGCTGGCTTCGGCGGATGCGTCGGAGCCGGAGGTTTGGTCGTAGTCCATGTCTGCCTCGTCGAAGTCGTCTTCGACATTGCTCCACGTCGAGTCTCTATCCGTAATATCAAATCCGGTTGGTGCTCTTAAATCAAAGTTGGCTGCGTAATCCGCATCCGAGAGACTCAACCATGTGAGTTTTGCTTCCTGCCGCAGGAATATGAGGACATCGCGCCAGCGGCTCCCGGGTTTCAGTAGTACGCCGCGAAGTCGCAATCCGCCTAGCATGTTCCGGTGTCGTCGGACAAGGTCGATAATTTCGACCGCATCGAGTCTCCATGACTCGAGCGAGATAACACGCAGTCTCGTGAGATTTTCATTCTGAAATACCTCCCCAAGTGGAATCGATGCTGGTCTTCCCCTAGGAAATCCTATATGAAGAGTCACGAGATTCGTAGCACAAGTAAGAATCGATTCAATAACGCCCGACAGTTGACCGAAGCTGGCCTGGAACTCATCCGGGTCCACAAATCGCGCCAATATGCACTCGAGGCGAGACGATATGCTCTGCACCCGTGCGCTGGGGATGCTCCGCAGCGAGATGGCGGTCTGGGCGTCTATCATGGGGAACGACAGTCGGCTAGCAGGTGATTGGGAGGAGAGCAGGGCGCTGCCTAGCGTTTTCACGCCATGGAGGTAGGCTGCAGTGCGACTGGGCTGCAGGACCGCCTCGAATACATTATTCTGCATAAAAGCGATGAACTGGGTGTCGATTTGGTTTTGCAGGCTCAGCAGCGACACATGCTGCAGCGAAGTGAAAGCGGCGAAGGCGCCGTCCAGGGTCTCCCGGTCGATCTTTGACTCGACGATGCTGACCTGCTCCTTCGCCTGCGCGATGAGCTGGTCGGGGACTCTCTTGCCATTCGCGATGGCCTCGCTGATGCGCTCAATGTGCGCCTGATCTGTAGGCACGGTTAGCCGGCACGCACAGCAGGAGACAAATGGTGCGCTACGCTATACCGTTGAAGAACAGCCTGGGCACCAGGTACGTGAATTTCTTGACCGCCGTGGCGAGATGTGGGTAGCGGGCTATATTTCTCAGTCTATTGAGGCCTGCCTCGTTGAAGCGCGTGGCCAGGGTCTTAAACTGATGCTGCAATCCAACCTCGGAGAAGCGTCTGCAGGTGAAGCGGAAGTTGCCTACCACCTCGGGCTCGCGCGGCAGCTGACTCTCGAATTTAAAGCTCACGACACTCATCCACGCGCGATGGTCAATATTGATGGGCCCGGGATCGGTGTCGACGGCACGAAGGATTACTAGGAGAACCTCGTCAGGAAGGTCTAGAATGCCAATCTGCCCCCGAGGAGCCATAACGTGTAATAAATTATGGATTTTGCCAAAGCTGGGGAAAATTCAATTTCAATACCAGGAGACCAGGTCATCTCAGACAGGTAACCAAGAATTGAGCGACAGGACCCTCGAAGGTCATACTTGCCGAGCTGCTAACTTTGCCAATCTGACTCTAGTGGCAACCCTCACCCTCGTGAGTGTGGCAGCACAGGGCAGAGAGGATAGAACGAGTGCATGAGAGGGCAGAAGAAACCTGAAGGCGTGTAAGGCGTGTGTGTCTGGTGTTTACCGTTCGTCCGTTTTGCAGCAGATCGTGTGGAGAAGGGGGTGGTTGTGGTTGTGGTAGTTGCGAAGGGGCGAAGAGGGGTCGTTTGAATTTCTGATGCACAGTAGTAGTAGTACGGCCGACAGCAGGAGAACCACTCAAAGGAATTTTTCGAAACTGCGAAAGTATGCAGAGTGCAGATACTATCTCGTCATAGGCTAAGCTGGGATACTGTGCATGAAGCATACGTGTGTTGGTCTTGGTGTAAGTGGTGTAGATGGCGATTCTGGCGAGTAAAGAGCACTGAATGGACGAGACATGCGAGGTCTTGGAGAAACCTCCAGCCGCTGAACAGCGTTTCTATCCTAGTCTCAACCACATTCTCGGGTCCGGGTAAGTCAGGTGATAAATGATACCCAATTTAGAAAATTGAGAGGGGAGAGCTGTGTCGACTGTGGGTGGGATTTGTTGTCTTTCAGAGCGTGTACTGGCCTGTTATTGCGAGGGGAGATGTTAAGAGATGAGGATTCGCTGGGGTTGGGCCACGTTGAAGCGCATGACGAAGAGTGCCCCCAATGTAGTAATGAGGCGTCGCTCAATCGGAAAGACTTTCCGAGAGTGTAGTGTGTACTATACTGAGGGATACTGTGTGTGGTCTATTATATGGTCAGTATGTGGTCTGTATGTACTATATATCCTCCTGCTCATGTACGGAGTATTATTGCACTATTCATAAGCATGCGCATGCCGAAGGATGGCGTGTCTAGTCTAGAGTGATGAGTTGCATCCTAGGGTCCTAGGGTCCTAGGGGATCCAAGGGGATCAACAAGAAGGAAGGGGAAAAACGAAAGGCTGCGTAAAACATGGAATATGGCAGGCAGGCAGGCACAGGCACAAGGGCTATAAAGTAGATTCCGTATAAGCACGCAATATCAAAAGCGAGTTGAAATCGGCTCGATATCGATGCCGTGTCTAACATATGATGTATGTACTGTACTATACTATATACTATAAGTGCAATACAGGGATATAGTTCAATACAATGCAATATAGTGTAATCCAGTATAGCAACCATAGGATCTGCAGTGGTGGAAGGAATCAGGATGGTGGTGTCGAACGCACGTTGTGGCACCAACCAGCCACTAACCGACAGCTCCAAGCGCCCGCCAACGCCCAACGCAAGCGCCAGGAGGGAAGCTAGGGAAAGATAGACAGCGAGATCAACGCCCAGTGGCTTGTGTGGTTGGCGAATCTCGGGTCTTTCTCCTGTCTAATTCCGGAGCGCGAGAAGGATTTGCATTCCAATTACTGGAAAGCCGGCCGGTCTCCTTTGGCGCATGAAGCGCCTGCGAAGCAGCGCGTAGGCGTAAACTCGGCCGTATGAAGAGATGCAGTCGCACTTGCCCCGTAGAACACACACTTCAGCGAATTGATCACACCGCTCCGTTGCAGCAGACGGTCGGGATATCCCAGTACGGACTTTTGTGCGTGAGCTAGGTTACATGATGATATGCTCTACATACAGTACTCTACCTACTCCTACCAAGGCAGTACTCATTACTCTACTCTACTAAGGTACTGGATTATATGCACAGCACAGCACAGCATAGCAAGTAAACTCGTCGCGTCGTCGTTTTCAACCACCGGCATCCAAATCTCATGCATTCCAGCAATATAACCTTACCGCCCCAGGCATAGGGGCCAGCCACGTTCCGTGTCCAGCTCATCCCGCTCATCCCCATCGACCCCGACCAGGTCCCAGGTCCCAGGTCCCAGGTCCCAATCCAACTCCATCCTGGAGCTACCAACACCGTATGCGACCAAGGGCCGACTCCATCCATGTCCCTGGCTCGCGCCGCGCGCGGCTCGGGACGCAATCGGCGGGCAGTGCCTCGTATCCTGGCCATTTCATTCCCACATACTGTACTATGATACTGTAATGTAGGTATGTTATGCATCCTTACCGCTTGTCCACTGCAGAATCTAGCAAGACACTGTGCGCCAGTGATGCTGTGCACCACCCACCAACCAACCCACCAGCCGGCGATCAGAAAAGGCCTGTCGTGGTGAAATGGACCCCCACATGTCGCACAGATGGCCGGTGCTTATGATACTCATACAAGGGAGGGGTTTGGGGCGAAAAAGGAAACACACACCGTTATGAAACCGTCGTATTATATAGGCCAATGACTTTCTTATCGATATACGGAGGAGTACTCCGTAGCAGTGCTCGATACTCATGCCGCCTAAGAGTCTGGAGGAGGACTGTGTATGCCAAAGGATTGATTTCTTGACGAACTTACCCTTATTTCTTTAGTTCTTTAGAAACAGAGATATTAACTTCAACTGCTGGCATGATTCCTAGCCTAGACATAGGGTTGTCTCTAGACTTTCCCCCGCACCCCTCATCGCTTACTAATCACACTATGCCCCTCCAACCCCAACCAATCAGAAGCTAAACTTAGCTACCGACAGCCTCGGAGCAATTACCATTCGGCCCCGCCTGGCTGGATTAACATCCATTAAACTAATCTTGCCTTCCTTTTATCACTTTTTAAGATCAACCCACAGCATACAACCATCTCACCAAACAAACTCCAAACACACCATGTCCACCTCCTCCGCCCCCTCACTACTCCTCCTCCCACCCCCCCCACAATCTCTAGACCGCGCGTCCCTAAAAGCAGCATACCTCCCCGCCTTCACAGCCGCCCTATGCGAGTTAGCATCCGCCCGCGTGAGCCCCATCGCCGTGCTAGACATCGCCGTCCCATGGCCAGCACTGCGCGAGAAGCCAAGGTCGCATTTATTCAAAGAGACGCAGCATTTACTAGCAGAGCTATACAGTCTCATTTCCGTCGTCTGCGCACAGAAGAGTATCGACCTCGATTGTCCGGGGGGGATAGATCCGAGGGTGCTGCTGGTTGAATACGACTCCTCTCAACCACCCAGCAGCCAGGGAGGTAGCAAACCCGTCATCGCCGCAGGGGGGCCGATCATAGACCTCCAAACCGTCGCTCTAACACGTCGAACATGGACCCTCATCTTCACCGTCGACGGCGAACAAGGCCAACAGGTCTTCCACCACTACTCCACCCTCGCAAACGCCCACTCCACCCCCCTCCGCGGCCACATCCGCACCGTCCCCGGCGGAACAACCGTCGTCGTCGCCCAAACCACCACCCAGCACAACTCCCCCCCGCCCTCTCATCCCTCAGCAAAAACACACGCTGTTGTCGCGGTAGGGGGGACGTTCGACCACCTCCACGCGGGGCACAAACTCCTCCTCACCGCTACGGCGTTGATGCTGCAACCCCCCCTCCACACGTCACAGTCACACCGCCGCCTAATCATAGGCATCACAGGCGACGAGCTCCTCAAGAACAAGAAGTACGCTGAGCAGCTCGAGAGCTGGAAACGGCGCGAGGAAGGTGTGGTTAACTTCCTCCTCCCTCTCCTCTCCTTCACCACCCTCTCCAGCTCCGAAGACATCACACGCACCCCCTTCGGTACCCCCGTCGTCAACGGCCGCGGCGTCTCAACCCACCTCAAGTCCGCAAACCTCACAATAGAGTGCGTAGAGATCCAAGACCCCTTCGGTCCAACCATCACAGACGCCTCCGTCTCCGCGCTCGTCGTCTCGGGGGAAACCCGCGATGGCGGGGCGGCGGTGAATACCAAGCGTGAGGAGAAGGGGTGGGAGGCGCTGGAGGTGTTTGAGATTGATGTTTTGGATTCCGGGGAGGACGCTGGGGGGGGAGGGGAGGGGGCGGAGGGGTTTGCGGCGAAGATTAGTAGTACGGCGATTAGGAGGAGGAGGGCGGAGGAGAGTGGGAAGGCGTCGTTGTGACGGGCGGGGTAGAGACAAGGGGAGAAGGGGGGTGGGGGGGAGCGCGGGTCACTGTGACGGGATGGGGATAGCATCACTAGGATGTGTGGGGGAACAGAACTTTGATTTCGTGCGTCCTCACAATATATCCGTACGTACGTACGCCAACATTTCAAACCCGGGCTCACACTCAAGCTCCCAAAAACGCCATGCAAGCTATGCTCCTCCTTTCCATCTACCCCCCCCCCCCCCATTTTCCCTCCAGCAGCAGTCCCCCGAAATCAAAACTTAACCCCCCAAATCCCCCTCCCCCCGCTAACCCCAAGCGTATCACTCCCATCTTTCCCCAACGCACTATTAGGCGCCCAACTCAAATTCCCAACCTCATAATCACACCTCCAGCTCGCCGTCGGGCTTCTCAAATTATCCCCCCCACCAGCTCCAGGCGCAACACCATTAACCCCCTGCTGCTGTTGCTGGGTCGGATTCGCATTAAGCAGATCCCACACGAGCACTAGACTATCATCCGCGCCACTCGCGAGCGTGCCGCGGCGTGAGGGACTCCATTCGATGCAATTTATCGCTGCGGAGTGGCCGTGGAGTTCAAGGAGGGCTTGGCCGGGCTGGCGGACGTCGAGGATGCGGATGATTTTGGAGTCTTGGGAGAAGGTGGCGAGGAGGTGGGTGTCGTGTGGGGAGGCGGCGAGGCGGAGGAGGGGGGGGGCGTAGGCCATGGTTTGTTGGGCGAGGGTGGGGGAGATGCGGCCGGATGGGGTGTTGTGGTCTGGACGGTGTTAGGTTAGTGGTTGTTGGGAGGGGAAAGGGGAGGGTGGAGGAAGCGAGGTGGGGGGGGGAATACCTTTATCATCCTTGGCGGTTGGCTCGTAGATAATGGTACTGTGTTCTAGACTGCGTAAATCGAACATACGGACGCTGCCGTCGGCGCCGCAGCTTACGAAGACCTCAACGCTGTTGGCGCAGAAGCGGACATCGAAGACTTCTTTGTCGTGGGCGATTAGCTGGGTCTTGGCGGTCAGGGTGGGGATGTCCCAGATGGTACAGGTGGTGTCGATGCTCGAGGTGATGATGAGGGATGGAGAGACGGTGTTCCAGTCCAGGGATGTAAGTGGAGCTGTGTGCTCGGGCGTCTTTGAGTTGGAGAGCAGAGCTAGTGGGGTAAGCTTGCTGGGAGGCTGGGACTGTCCGTGGTTCGAAGAGCGGGTGATGGAGTTGGAGTGGCTTGACATGGAAATATCTGCTGGGAGAGACCATAGTCGGAGGTGGTCGCCCGATGTCGCCAGGAGATCCGTCGACTGCTTTTGGGAAGATGGCGGCTCCCAGAGCAAGCGTGTGACGGGGTATGAATGAGTCGCCTCTGCGATTTTCGAGAATTCGAGGCCATATTGGGGGGCGGATGACGAGTACGGCTCTGGCGACGAAGGCTTGATCGACGTTTCGAGGATTTGTATCTACAAAAGAACGTTAGCACAAGAAGCAGAAGCAGGACAGGACACGGTAGACTTACAAAGTTATGCCCATCCTCAAGGTAACTTCCTACAGCAACCTTCCCAGCATCATTATTGTGCGACGGCCATTTACACCAATCAAACGCGTAAATCGCCCACGGCGCCAGGTAATTGCTATTAGTCGGCACCGCATTCGCGCCGTCATAAGAATACGGATTGGCGCCCGGCAGCGCCGCATCCGACAGCGTCGAGTCCGCGCGCGGTCTGATATCCGCAAGCCCAAGCGGCGTATTCGACACGTTCCTCTGCTGTCCCGGCGCGTACTTCAGCGAGCTCGGGGTCGAGAACTGCGAGAGCTCCGACTCGCCGCCAGGCGTAGTCGTGTACGGCTGGTACTGCTGTCCATCGTACCCCATCGACGGGCTGGATCGCGAGTAGTTGTGCGAGAGGTTCTGGTTCGAGCGCAGCGGCGTCGCGAAAGGATCGGCCGGCATCGTGCTCTGCAGCGCGGGCACGGCGGGGGTGCTGTTCGAGGAGAGGGTAGGCAGCCTGCTGGCTCCTCCGCTCTGGAGCGGGCCGGGGAGGTTGCTCTGGTAGTTTGTGGTCTCGGGCGTGGCCTGCTCGAGGTTTATACGCGGTGCTCCTGCGGGACCGTAGTCGCGTGGTGAGAGGCGACCCTTCTGGGCAGCAGCAGCGGCGGTGTCCGCGTCGCCAATGTCCAGCTCGTCGGGGTGTCGCGCGTAGGCTTGCTGTCGCCGCGGTGTCCCGAAGTGTTGTTGCGCGTTGTTGGGAGCGGCAGGGTTCGACATCATGGCGTTCGGGGGGGTGTGATTGGGAGTTTGGGCGGCGGGTTGGGCTGGTGCCACATTGAAGGTGTGGGAGGAGGCTGTGGGGGAGGAGCGATAGGGACTGGCTGGTGGTGGAGCTGCAGGAGCTGTGGCTGTAGCCGCCGCAGTGGTTCGAGTACTGGCAGATGGCGTTGCCACGGAGCCTAGAACTTGCGCAGCTTGGAGTAGACTTGCTGTTGCGCTTGGGACATTCTGTTGCGCTGAAGAAGAAGCAGTTGAAGAGCTGGACCTATGATGTCCACCGAACAAGGGCATTCTCAAGAAGATCAGAGGGAGAGGGAGAGAGCACAGGTCGGCGAGAGGACGGGAGAAGGGGAAGGGAGGCTGAATGGACGTTCGGCAGCGGCGCTTATGGCAGGGCGGTTTGTAGTGTTCGGCGGTGTTGGCTTATGTAATATTTAAACTCACTCCTTGTTCCCCCAGGGGTGTCTCTAGTGATTGATTGTGTAAGATGTTTATGCCTGAGATGCCTGAGATGCCTGAGATGCCTGAGATGCCTGAGATGCCTGAGATGCCTGAGGAATAAACGACCCGCCCAAGAAACCCCCATACTCTTAACAAGCCGTCCCTTCTGAATCACAACAAGACAACAGACTCTTTCTTCTCTTCTCCAATGCTCCATAAGTCATAAATTGGAACCACTTCATCCTTAATGATCTTTTAGGATGCAATCACAGCGTACGGCGTACTCAAGAGCCGTTGAATAACCTAACGATTGTCTCGAGGGTTGGAACAACACGGGACACACCCTACGATCACGAGACACGTGAAAGGGTTCATAGTCAGGAATGCATACATTTATTACTCAACAGTTATGAGCCTGGAGCACATCGAGGTCGCATTTTAAACTCTTCGAACATCGTACAGACCTCAAACCCCCTCCTAGGAGTTGATCACCATCATAATGGCGACCCTACAGAAGGTGGGGGTGGTCCTTGTCATACTGACATTCGTTGCACTCAGTTTGCTATCAAACTCAAGAGCAAACTTAGAAATCTCCTCCTCAAACATACAAGTTACTATACATATTTTGGCTTGTCACACCAACAACAAGAGCAATACTACTCAACAATTGCTACAACCCTCTATGATTCATTACACATCATTGCTCCTTAGTTACTGGGCCGATATGACCACATAGCAAATCTCTACAACCCTCTATGATTCATTACATGACATCACTCCTTAGTTACTGGGCTAATACTACACATGACATATCTCTATCAACTAGAGGCCTAGGAACATGAACGATAGCTCCAAAAGCTTCTACAAGCGTCTATGATCCATTACATGTCATCGCTCCTTAGTTACCCACAAGATTGGTTAAGTTATGACATGATTTGTCTATAGGGGTACTCTGACCTTGGACCTCCTTTCACTTCCTATAGGCTAGGAACCTAGGAGATGGTTCTATGGGATTCTCTTACGTTGACTACAATTACCAAGCCTGGTTAGTCATGGAAAGTCTTGGAAAATGAGAGAAATACACTCCTGTAGCATAAATAGGATTGCCCTTTCCTTTATGTTGCATCTGTTCTATGACCTGGAGCTTCATCTTGCATTAATGTAAGGCCTGGGTGTAGGCATAACCAGCCGTGGATTAGAGGAACAGTATGAGCCATATAGGACTCAGCTCCTATTTTCCCATATTCCTTCTCCCAAAATAGTATAGGACCCTTTCCAAGACCACCTGAGAAGCAGCCCCAGAACATCCAACCTCTAGGGATTGTTAGTAAATCCTATAGTAAATAGGAGTCTCTTACCTTCTCCGTTGTACTCTATCTACAACACACGTATCATCCCACATTTCCCCTGCTTTTCGAGTAACCCACGTACGAGTATGGCGGCCTCCCGTTAACCACATCTCGTCAGTCCAAAGTATCCTATTCCAATCATTCTGTAGCCAATCTGTAATGGTGGGTGTACCAGATGTGAGAATCTAGCCACCCAAGGAAGGGGATGATATTTACTAAGACAACACACTGTCTTAGGAAACAGAGCCAAAGGGTTGTAGCTTAGACTATTCCACAATGCAGCAATCAGGTGTATGATGTAGTGAAGTGGTTTATGTAATGGTGGGTGCACCAGATGTGAGAATCTAGCCACCCAAGGAAGGGATGATTTTACTAAGACAACACACTGTCTTAGGAAACAGAGCCAAAGGGTTGTAGCTTAGACTATTCCACAACGCAGCAATTAGGTGTGTGATGTAGTGAAGTGGTTCAGACAAGTTGCAACAAATGTTGAGTCTGGGAACTCAGGGGTAAGTCAGATGTTAACACCTCACTGACTTTTCAGAAACAAGGAGTAACAAGATGAATGCTTGGAAGCTTGTAAAAGACGTGGAAGTATGTGATAGTCGATTTACTGTATTGCCTGATTGCCCTTTCTTAAGGAAAGGGCAATCCTATTTATGCTAAAGGAGTGTAGTTCTCTCATTTTCCAAGACTTTCCATGACTAACCAGGCTTGGTAAATGTATTAGAAATCAAGTGCGACCCACAACTAGCTTGATAATCATGTAGTGAACGTAAGAGAATCCCATAGAACCATCTCTTGGGTTCCTAGCCTATAGGAAGTGAAAAGGAGGTCCAAGGTCAGAGTACCTATAGATAAATTATGTCATAACTTAACCAATCTTGTGGGTAACTAAGGAGCGATGACGTGTAATGAATCATAGAGGGTTGTAGAAGCTTCTAGAGCTATCGTTCATGTTCCTAGGCCTCTAGTTGGTAGAGATATGCCATGTGGTAGTATTGGCCCACCCCCTTAAGGAGGAGATTTTCTTAATAACTTGTTCAATGAGTGTCCAAATGATATGCCGTGATGTATGTAGCATAAACAGATGTAGTAGAAGAGTTTGCAGCAATCGTTGAGTAGTATTGCTTCTGTTGTTGGTGTGATAAGCCAAGATATGTATGGTGACTTGTAGGTTTGAGGAGGAGATTTCTAAGTTTGCTCTTGGGTTTGATAGCAAACTGAGTGCAACGAATGTCAGTATGACATGATCCCCCTTTTAAGGAAGTTTGTTGGCTGTCTGCTTGCCCTTTAGCCAGGTGGCTTTCTTAGAAAGTAATTCTAGAATGAGCTTAGATGCATTTTTTAGATTTCTCTTAGGCTCCCAAGTGTTGTCACTTGTAGGATAGCCTTTCCACTTAACGAGGAAGTAGTCCTGACCTCTAAGTGTCTTTTTGTCAAGGATAGACTCTACTTCATATTCTGGTTGATCCAAGATCAGAACAGGAGGTGGAGGAGACTGAAGTGGTCATCAAAGGAACTTTCTTGTGCCTTAGACAAGAGAGATGCATGGAACACATTATGGATAGTCCAAGTAGGTGGTAATGCAAGCTCGAAAGCATTCTTGCCAATAGTCCTTGTGATCTTAAAAGGTCCAAGTCTTTTAGTATCAAGTTTGTCTGAAGGTCTAGTAGTTGTGATATGTCTTCTAGACAAAAAGACTTGATCACCAACTTTGAATTGTGGTGCAACCAACCCCCTGTTAAAGGCCTGAGCCTGCTCGTCTTGTGCACGCTGTATTTGAACCTTGAGATAGTCCTGGAGGCCCTTAAGGTAGATGATTCTTTCAGTAGCAGAAGGGTTTTTGAAATTTTCAGGACAATTCAGTTCTGCCACTTCAAACCTAGGGTGATAACCATAGTTTGCATAGAAAGGTGTCTCTTTTGTGGTGTTAGAGACTGTGTTGTTGTAAGCAAATTCTGCAAGATGGAGAAGATCTGCCCAGTTGTCTTGAGCATAGTTTGTATAAATTCTTAGATATTGTTCAATAACAGAGTTGACTCTCTCTGTCTGGCCATCTGTTTGAGGGTGATAAGCTGTAGAGAAGCGTTGTTCCATGTTTAAGAGTTTAGAGACGTAAAAAAAGTTTGAAGTGAAAACTGCTCCCCTATCTGAGATCCAGTGTCCAGGAATTCCATGATATTTAAAGACCACCTTGAGGAATAGCCACGCAAGTTCAGAAGCTGTGATAGTCTCATTGCAAGGCTCAAAGTGTGCCATTTTTGTGAGCCTTTCTACCACCACAAGGATAGAGTCATAAGGGGTAGCACCCCCTTTTGGGATAGAAGGAGGCAACTTGACTATAAAGTCAATGGATATGGAGTCCCATGGGCGTTCTGGTATAGGTAGAGGCTGCAAGAGGCCATAGGGCTTTTGCCGTGTAGGTTTGTTCAAGTTGCAAGTAGTGCAAGAAGATATATAGTCTTGAAGAGTAGTCCTTAGATTAGGCCAGTAGAACTTTCTTGTTAGAAGTTCATAAGTTTTTGCAAAGCCAAAGTGCCCTGCAGCTGGAGCATCATGGAACTGCTGTAGGAGGTGTAGCTGTAATCGTTTATCCCTTGGGACATAGATATAGCTCTTGAATAAGAGAAGTCCTTGCTGATTTTTTGAGAAATTTTGTAGTCCAACTTTCTCAAGAGAGGAACCTTTCTTCTGGAGGTATTCCAAAGTTCTTTTGGCAAAGGGATCGTGGTTGTAAGCATCTTTGAATGCTTTAATAAGTGTTGCTGAGGGTGTATAGTCTTTAAAGGTCTCTGGTTCCTGAGAAGAGGTAATGGGGGCAACTTGGTCTTGAGGGGATAAGTTTACCCCTAAGTCCTCTGTAGTACTAGGGTTGCTTAAAGATGCTGCTATCAGCTTTGCTGAGCCTAGCAGAGCCTTTGTATTGCTAGTTTTAGCAGAATCTTGGTAGTCATGTCTTCTTGAGAGGAGATCTGCTCTTTGATTCTTGGCCCCTGAGACATGTTTTATAACAAAGTCAAAACCTCCTAGTTGTTCAGACCACCTTGCTTGTCGTCTATTGAGCTGTTTAGTAGTTGTAAAGGTCAAGAGGTTTGAATGGTCACTGTAAATAGTGATAGGATAGTTTGCCCCTTCAAGGTAGCATCTCCAATGCTTTAGAGAACATACTATGGCAAGCAGTTCCTTGTCTGTAATGGGATAGTTTTGTTCGGCTGCTGATAGCTTTCTTGAGTAAAATGCCACAGGCTGTAGCTCTTCTTGTTTGTCTTTTGGAACTTGGTATAAGATTCCAGAAATAGCAAAATCTGAGGCATCTGTCTCAAGAGTGGCAAGTTTCAAGGGGTTAAAGTGTAGTAACATTTTCCCTTCTTTGAATTCTCCTTTAAGAGCATCGAAAGCATCTTGCTGTGTCTTATCCCAGTGATACAAAGTGTCCTTGTGAAGTAATTGAGTAAGGGGTAAAGCCAAGGATGTATATCTTGGTATAAACCTCCTGTAATAGTTGGCAAACCCAAGGAAAGACTGAACCTCTTTAATGCTGGAAGGAATAGGCCACGTTTGTA